AAAAAAAAAAAAAAAAAATTTTTTTTAAAATTTTTTTTTTTTTTTTTTTTTTTTTTTTTGAATATTGTATATAATTTTAGTTGACATATTAAAAAAAAGAAAAATAATTATAGATACAATCAATCAAGGATAGTACAAGTGGAAGATTGTACAATAATTGTAAAATTATTTGTTTTAAATTATTTATGAATAATATCACTGCTATGATAAATAAAATTTTATAATTTATAAATTGCACAAGTTGTTTCTTTAATTATGCATTTAACAACTTATAATTATTTTAAATTTTACACATTTTTTTCATACCTTTTATTTTTTTTTTTTTTTTTTATATATATATATTATATTAATTTTTTTTATTTCATTTATATATATATATATTCTTTATCTTATCTATATTTGGATTCTGTCCCAATTCCTGTTTTTGTTTCTTTTTTTCTAGTATATTTTTTCTTCGAATTATCTTTTTAAAATTAATTTTCTTTTTATATATTTTTTTTTTATATTTCCTATTCTTCTCTTAATGTAATTATGGGTAGTAGTAGTTTGCCTATGTCACAACAGATGTATTTTAGTACACATAATGCTTTAAGAATTAATGAAGAAAATGATGTTATAAGTACATTATTTTATGAAATAAATGGAAACAGACATATAAGTTTGTTAATTTTTCCCTTTTATGATGTTCAAATGTTAAAAAGATTATTAATAAAAAAATTAAATTTACCAGGAGGTATTAAGGTAAATGATATTATAATATTTTATAAAGGAATAAAATTACCAAATTATAGGATAATTAGCACATATTTAGATAATAATAATAGGAATGAAAAAAAAAAGAGAAAAACAGTTAATAAACTATATTGGGCTATTAAAGACACCAATCCTAATGCATCCATAAGAGTAATAGATAACAAAAGTTATCCACCATTTTTTGAGAACATTTTAAACGAAATTAAATTAGCTTTTAAAAAAAATATTTCTCCTAAATTAACAATGGATGGTACAGGAGGAACTTATCTATTATTCAATGGAAAGAAAAAAGTATGTTCTGTTTTTAAACCATTAGATGAGGAAGCTTTTGCACCTTTTAATCCTCGAGGTTATGAAGGAAAAATGTATCAAGAAGGATTTCGTTCAGGAGTATTATCAGGAGAAGGAGCAAGTAGAGAAATTGCTGCTTATATTTTAGATAATAATTATAATAATTTTAGTAATGTACCTTGTACAATTATGGTAGAAGCTTGTCATCCTCATTTTAATAATAGAAGCAAATTAAAATATATAGATAATGAAAGTAATTTAAAATGGAAATGCGGTTCTTTACAAGAATTTATAGATTCAAAAGAAAGTGTTGGTAATTATGATTATAAACAATTTAGTATTAGAGATATACATAAAATTGCTATACTTGATATAAGAGTTATGAATTTAGATAGAAATGATGGTAATATATTAGTTTCTCCTTTGAAAAGTTTAAAAGATTCTTATAATCAATTTTTATATAGAAACAATCAATTTTTTAGTACAAATAATGAAGATATTCTTAAAAGAATAGTAACAATAGATAAAAAACCATCAAGGTATTAAAAAAAAAAAAAAATTTCTTAGAATTACATATATATTTTTATATAACTATTTTTGCATAATTTTTATTATATTTTATTATATTTTATTATAATTTATTTTTTTTTTTTTTTTTTGTTATATATTTTTATATATTTATTTTATGCATATATTTTTTCTATTATTTTATAGATATAGTTTAATACCAATAGATCATGGTTTAATTTTACCACATATAATGGATGTAGCAGAAATTGACTTGGTTTGGTTTGAATGGCCTCAAACAAAAGTAAAATATTTTAAGAAAAATTATTCAAAAAAAAATATGTTTATATTAATATATGTTTATTTATTTATTTATTTTTTTTTTATTATTAAAGGTTCCATTTGATGATGAAGAATTACATGTTATCTTTACATTTGATCCAGATAAGGATGCTGAGAAAATTAGAAAAAAATTATTAATAAGAGAAGATTGTATAAGAACTATGAGAGTATGCACTCGTTTATTACAAATAGGGGCAAGAATGCATTTGAATTTGTATGAAATTGCAAAAATAAGTACAAGAAAAAATATCGATGATGAATCTATACTTGAACATTTAGTTAAAGATTCAATTATCCAAGTAAAAAATATATAATTATATATATGTATACATTTTAACATAATTCTATTTAATCTTATTTTAATTTATTTTATTATTTTTTATATTACCTTTTCTCATTTATACATATATAAATAATATTTTTATTATCTATTAATTCTCAAAATAATATATCTATTTTACATATTATTCTCATTTTTTTTTTTTTTTTTTTTTTTTTTTTTTGTAAGGCATACCAAATGATGGATTATACTTCGTTAATGAGTACAAATAGGTTAGGACATATATTAGATTTAGCAGAAATTAAAATTAATAAAAAGAAAAAAAATAATAATATAAAAAGTAAAACAGTAGATAATATTGATGATAAAATTAAGAAATCAGAGGATATTAATGAAATAAATAAAAACAAAGGATTTCAAGAATTCTCAAACACAAAAAAAAATGAATATGGATCATTAGAAGATAAAAAGGTTAATTATACAACTTCAGTAAGTTTCAAAGAGATAAAAGAAAGCATTTCTATAAAAGAACATCCATTTTCAAATAATCATTATCAAAAGGAAGATAGTAAAATAAATAATGCAAATAATAGCATAAATAGTAATATTAATATTTTTTCGGATAATGTAAATATATGTAACAAGAATGTATCCAGTATTACTAATTGTAAGGAAATTTTAAAAAAAAACGAAAATACAAAAGACAATAAAACATGCGAACAATTATATTCATCGATAAATCAAATAATTGAAGAATGTAAATATAACGATAAGAATAAAATTGAGGATAAGAAATTGTATAACATACAGAATAATGAAATTAGTGAATATAATGCATTTTACAAAAATAAAAAATCAGTAAAAATGATAAATGAAACAAATAATAATAGTTCACCGATTACTTCTTTTAGTAGCACAAGTGAATATGTTAATGCTACTACCAGCTCAACTTCAAACAGTTATGACTCATCTTTGAATAATGAAGATAAATGTAATAATTCAAAGAAATATGATTCACATAATGAAGAGTTAAATGATAATTCAAATTTACCTAATTATAAATCTACTTTTCTTAATGGTCCATTAAATAAATCTAAAATTAAGAAAAAAAAGAAAAGAGAAAAAAAAAAGAAACATAAGGATGAAAATGAAAAAAAAAAAGAAATAAAAGAAGAGGAAGAAGAAAAAGAAAAAGAAAAAAAGGAAAGAAATAATGAAGAACATGAAGATGATGATGATGAAGACGAAGATGAAGAAGAGGAGGAAGAAGAAGAAGAAAATGATGATGATGATGATGATGAAACTTTTAAAAAACCATCAGGGACGATAAAAAGAATAAGTGAAAATACAGGAACAGCTTATAGAAATATGGAAATGAATAAAATAAATTCAATATGGATGATAAGAGATAAAAATAATAAAATTATAAATGTAAAATGGGAAAATAAAATTTTTGAGAAGCTTTTTTTTGAAACTTTTGAAAATTATGTTAAGAAATATATTAACGATTATCATCCTAATTGGAAAAATTACCCTTATAATGGTAATAAAATTACATCCATAAAACATTCTTACTTAAATAGTATAAAATAAGCATTCTTAAAATAAAAAAAATATTTATTTTTTTTTTTCCTTTTTTTTTGAATGTAAATTAATGATTAATATATATATATATATAGAGATTGTACTGTATAATAATACATTCTTAAAATATATTAATTTTTTTTTTCTTTTTTTTTTATCTCATAATTCTGTCTTATTTTTCTTTTTTCTTTTTTCTTCTTCTTTTTTTTTTTTTTTTTTTTTTTTTTTTTTATGTTAAAAATATAATTTTATCTTATTTTTGCTTTTACTTATGAATTAAAAAGCAAAGAACATTTAATCATGATTTATAATTATTCATATGTATAATTTGTTTTCTTTATTTTTGTATATTTTTTTTTTTTATGTTTTAATTTTATCTCATTTTTAAGGGATAAATTTTTCCTTTTCTTTTTTTTTTAAATCAGAAAAAAGTTACACATAAAATTAAAACTAAATTAATAGGACACATTTTAAAAAAATACAATATTAAAACTTTTATTTTTATGTCATTTTTATTAGTTTATATAATAAAATAAAAATCCAAAGTAAAAATAATAATTAAAATCCATATTAGAAATATACATATTACTTAATTTCTATTCAAAAATATAAAAGAAAAAAAAAGAAAATTTTCTTTTAAATACATTATAAATTTTATGTATATGAAAATTTAATCTATAATCAATGAGGAAAACTTAAAAAAAAAAAAAAAAAAATTAAACTAAAAAAAAGGTAAAATATTATAATAAAAAAAATATATATATATATATATATATATATTAAAACTTAATATATATTATTAAAAAATATATAAATAGAAAATGATATTTAAATCGAAATATAAAAAACTGATGGTAACGTAAGTTTTTATTATACTTTGTGAATGAATTTATAGAATAAAATATTCATTATAATAATCTTCTTAAATGTTAAATTAATTTAATAGAACAATTATTCTAGAATTACAAAATATCCGTTACAATATAAAATTTGTTTTGATTGTTTCTTATATGCCTCCTCATGTTGATTTAACATATTTTTATCAAAAATATGAAAAGATACATTTATATCAAAAGCCTTCTTGAGTGTATTTTCTTCATTTTTAAAATAATTAATTGAAATTTTTTTTTGATATTCTTTTAAATAAATATTAGCTATTTTATTAGAAGACATACGTTTTTTAAAATTACGAAGATAATTAAAAATTTCTTCAAAGGCAACAAAATATTTTTCCTCAAAATTTTCGTTTAATATAAAATTTTGATTTTCAAAAAAATTATAATTACATGATAATAATTTGAATGGTACATGTTTATGTGATTCATATTTTAAATAAAGTTGGGTATACAAAATTTCAGTTATATGAGGAATAAATGGATAGAGAGTTTTTAAAACCCCTTTAAAAATATGAAATATTAAAAAATTTTTTACTTTTTTATTATCATTGTCATATAAATAATAATTTAAATAAAATTTGGAGAAAAAATTCATTACAAAAGTATAAATTATATTAATACTTGTGGACATATTATGAGATTTCATTTCATGCATAAATGAATTTATAGTGCTACAATATTTTTCAAATATACCTATATCTGATATTTTCTGAATTTCCTTTTTTTTTAAAAAGTCATGAATTCTTTGATTATCATTTAATAAATAACATTTCATTTCTATATATAACTTAAAAGAACAATTTTTTTTTATGAAATTACCAATATTCCATATTTTTCTAATAAATTTGTTACTTTTGTGAATAAAATTTTCTGAAAAAATAATATCTTCTGTACCTTTTTGAAGAAAACTAAAAGATAATCTTATAGAATCAATATTTGTATTTTCTATGTATTTATTATAATATGTAGAATTTTCTTCACTTTTGCTAATTTTTTTTCCTATATTATCTTTTAAAATTCCGTGAAATTTTACAATATTAGCTAAATAACTTTTTTCTAAATATTTCACTTTTTTATCTTGTAAATATTTTTTGCTATCATTATTAAAACCATTTCTAATATCATTAATATTATAAATATTACTATTAGTATTATTGGTGTTATTATTATTTTTTATACTATTGTCAATCATACTATTGTGATTTTTTTTTGCATAATCTAATATGTCCTTAATATAATCATTTTTTATAAAATAGTTGAGAAGAATAAAACTTCTAATAATCCATGGATACATTATATCTTTACCTGTGTAAATAAAATCAACTAAATAATTTTTTACTTCTAATAATTTATATAAATCAATTTTATTTTTATACAAACAATAAAAAAAGTATAAGGAAGAAGAAAACCAGCTATCTAGTACATCTTCTTCTTTTTTTAAATATTCTTTCCTTATTTTATCATTTTCAAAGTAATTCGATTTAATTAAATTTTCATAAGCTTCATCTATATTGTTTCCATAAATAAAACAAGAAAATCTGTTCGATGTTATATCTTTTTCTATTGTTTCAAATTTCTCATATTTAAATAAAGGAATATGGTGACCATAATGAATCTGTCTGCTTAAAAACCATTCATTATTATTCAATGAATTATCAAAAAAACAATCTTTAAATTTTGAAGGTAATATAGTAAAATCCTTATTAAAACTTTTAGAAAATAATTTATTTAATTCATGAAACTTTATATTCCATTGATCGGATAATGTTAGTATACATTTATAATTTTTATAATAAGCATATTTCACAATACTATTTTCTTGTTTTATTATTTTTATTAAATTATTTTTTTTTAATTCAAGAAGAATGCTATTTTTATCTTCTGGATTTCCAGTATGTGTTTTCTTTTCGTAGTTTCTATTTGTAGAAGTATATTCTTTATTTTTGAAATCGTTTGTGTTCTCATTTTTTAATGAAAATACAGGTATAAATAAATCTTCCTCTTCATTATCCTTATTATCATATAATGAAGAATAAAAATTTTTCTTTTTATGAAAAATTAAAGGCACTGTTCTATTTGATAATGGTAACAAAGCATATTTATTTTGATATTTTTCTTTTTTAGAAAAATATAAAATAGCTATTAATCTATTTAAATTTTCAATATTTTCTAATTCTATATTAATATAATGTAATTTATTAATTGAATTAATTTCAATTTCATTTAAATATTCAAAATGAAATATTTTTTTATGGAAAAATTTTACTTTACTCGAATCCTTACTTTCTTTAATATCATCATTTTTATTATCCTTATCAAAATTCAATCTAATATTTTCTTTTCTATTTTCAGAACATCTAGACTCTTTAATATAATCATTATTATATTTTCTAAAATTATTATGATTATTCTTATAATCATAATAGTTTCCATAATAATCACCGGTATCCTTATTTTCATTTGGTTTATTTATGTTTTCTTTTTTTATTAAATATAGTTTTACTTGATATATTTCTTTTTGTTCTTTTTTAAATATTAAATCAAAATATGGTATTATAGTATTTAATTGTTTACAATAATAAACTGGATAAAATTTTCTTTCTATTAAATTATTTTTATATAAAATATAAAACGATTTACTAACAATATTTCTCATTGGTTCATCTATTGTGTTATAAAAATTATTCTCATCAACAACGATGTTCATTTTTTGAATACTTTCTAAAATATTTTTTTTTAAATTTGTTTGCCATTTTTTTATTTCAACTAAATATTCTTCTCTACTTAAATTTGTCTTTTTAAATATTTTTGAGAACATTTCATGAGTACTTAAACCACCATGATCAGAACCTATTAAATAAATGAAATATGAATGATAAATATGTAATTATAAAAAATTTTTCAAATTAGTTAAAGTAACAAAACTATTATAAACAAAAATTTATTAAAACCTACCAAAAAAAGGAATGGAATATTTTGATAAAATATGCTTATTAAAAAGAAAAAAAATGTTTTGATATATAAAATTAAAAAAGTGTCCTGCATGTAATTTTCCTGATAAATTAGGTGGAGGATAAATTAGAATAAAAGAATTGTAGTAATTTCTTGTATTAAATTTTTCTATATATTGTTTTTCTTTATTTTTTTTAAATAAATACAGATATTTAACTATTAAATTGTTATAAATTTTATCTAATTCATCAATATTATATATAAAAGTAAAATGATTAATATGAACATTCAATTTTATTGCATCCCTTTTGAGTATTTCAATGAATAATTCATAGTTTAAAAGAATAGGGTCTTTTTTAAAAAATCCATAATTAAAAACATTTCTCAGTTCATTTTTCTTTTTATTTATTATTTTAAGAATATCATTTATTAGAAATGACCTATCTTTGTTATGTTTTTGTGAAATTATATTTCTTTTATTTTCTTCATTTTTCACATTTAAAAATGATTTTATATATATATAAATGCTTTTAAAGTAGTAATTATATATATTTATTTTTGATAAAACAAATGGTTTAATTAATTTATATAAATTTATACGCTTTTTTATATTACTAATTCTTAAAATATTAGAAAAATAACATTTGTATTTTTCATCACTTCTCGATTTTATGTTATAAATATTAATATTTTTATCTGTATGTTTTGAAATATAATTGATATATTTTTTGTTACTTTTTGATTTTCTGTATCTATAATATTTTTTAATAAAAAAATTAAATTTTTTATAAAATAATAATCTTTTATATACTTTTTTTGAATTACCAATAATGCAAAAAAAAAGAATGAAAAAAGTTAATAATGTTTTCATAATTTAAAAAAAAAAAAAAAAAGAATATATGATATATATTATTTCATTTAGTTCCAGCTGTTTAGAAAAATCCTAAATACAATTTTTTGTTACTTTCATTTTCTTTTCTTTTATTTTTGCTTAAAATTTAACAAAGTAAATTATTTTTTTTTTTTATAAAAAAAAACAAATATTATATTAACATTTTTTTTTAAATGAACATAATTTTATTTTCTTCATTTTCTTCTCTTTTCCTATTGGTAACAAATTATGATTTTTTTTTCTCTATAGTAAAATATATTAGTCTGAATAAGGAAAAGGTTTAATATTTTCTTTGTATTTTAAAAAAATATATTATATATATAATGAAATATAATTTATAAATCTTTATATAATATCATTTTAATATTAGAAAATTTAGGTTACAAAACAATATGAAAAAATATGCATAATAAAACTACAAAAAATATGGATACAGTTGTAACATTACATTTAAAAATATTATAAAGTTTTAATCTATAAATGTTAATAATAGCATAAAAAAAAAAAATCAAACAAATCAAATAAATCAATATATCTTGTAAAAAGAAAAAAAAAAAAAAAAAGCAGAAATTAAAAACGATGATTCTGATATAAAATATAGACTTCTTTTTTAAAATACATGACATTATTAATTCATTGTTAAAATTTCTTAATATTTAATTTTATTTATCTTTATCTTATCCATATTAAAATATAAAAATTTGCTACTTTTTTTTTTTTTTTTTTTATTATTTGTACAAAACTATTTACATTTTTCTTCTAAGCAAAAAAAAAAAAAATATATATTTTTCATGTAGTCTTCTTTATGGAATGAATTTCGTTAAAGTTTTTTATTTTTCATAAAAAAATAGAAACTAATTTTTTTTTTTTTATCATTCTATTTTTAATTTATTTTATTATTTTTTTTTTTTTTATATTTTGTTAAAATATAAAAAATTAAAAAAAAAAATATTTTTATTAAGACATTTATTACATATAGATATACATGAATTTTCTATGAAATATTTTTTTTTTTTTTTTTTTCTTTATATAAAATAATACACTATATTTCCTTTTTTTTTTTTTTTTTTTTTTTTTTTTTTTGCAATAGAATTTTTTCAACATTTATATAGAAAAAATAAATAATCATAAATAATTTGAACAAAAAAATAGAAATAACCATTATAAAAAATAAATTATGATAACATTGTATAATGAAAATAATTTTGAAGAAAAATTTTAAAATAAAAAATTATGATATTTCTAATGAAAATTAATTAATTTAGAAGAAAGTATTTTAATCTTTTTTAAAATAACATATCACAATATTTTGATAAAAAGAAAAATGCAAAAAGGTAAACTTACCTTTTAGAATAATGCTGAATAATCCATATAAAAATAAAAAGATTAATATAAAAGAAAAATAAGAAAAAAAAATAAAAAAAAATAAGAAGAAAAAAATAAGAGGAAAAAAAATAAGAGGAAAAAAATAATAATGAAGGGAGGTGGTTTTTATAAAGGAACAAGTACAGAACAAACTCCTTTTTTTGGTGATAAGGAAAAAAAGTTAATTGAAAAAATGAAATGGCCAGAAATTTATAATCGTCAAATTGATGTAAATAAAATTAATTTTAATATAGTAGAAAAATGGATAAATAAAAGATTAACTGAAATTTTAGGTTTTGAAGATGATATTTTATTTGATTATTGTATATCTCAATTAAAATATTCAAAAGAGAAAAAAGGTGAATACTTGTTTTTTTTTTTTTTTTTTCATTCATTTAAAATATTTTTTTTAATTTTTATTTGTTTTTTTATTTTTTCTTACATATTTATAGTATTTAAAAATATTTACATACACATTTATATATTTTATTTTTTTTTTTAATAGATGATGAAGAACATAATTATTTGAATGCAAAAAAATTAAAAATAAATTTAACAGGATTTATAGGTACTTATTAAAATAAAAAAGATATAAAGAATAAAAATGAATATAAATAATAAAAATTCTTATTATTTTATTTATAGGAAATAAGAAAAGTGAAATTTTTGTTAAAGAATTATTAGAATTATTAATATCTAATGAAGAAAACGATGAAAATATTTTAAATACATTAATTGAAGACAAAAAAAATGAAATAGAAGAAGTTAAAAATCAAAATGAAATTATAAAAAAAAATATAGAAAGTATTAAAAATATATATATAGGTAAGGAAATTATACTTTCTAAAATATATGAATGTGTATATGTATCCATATTTTAATCACATTAAAAATATTTCATTTATTATTATCTTATTGATTTATTTATTATCTTATTAATTTATTTATTATCTATTATTTTTATTATTATTATTTTTTTTTTTTTTAATAGAAAATGAAAATAAAGAAAAGAATGAATTTTTCCATAGTGAGAGTATCATTTAAAAAAAAGATATACTGAAAAAAATAAACGTAATAACATAAAATTATTATAAAAAATTAATTTTTTTTTTTTTTTTTTTAATGAATGTATAGGATGTGAATTAAATGAAGATAGTGAAAATAGTAATGTTAAAAATTTCAAGGATAAGCATAAAGATAAAATTAAAGAGAATAATAAAAATTCTTTGGATGAAATTTATAATAAAAAAAAAAGAAATGAACATGTAAGTTTATCATGTACACAATCTTCTTTATCATATCAAGATTCAGACTCAGATTTTAGTAAAAGTGAAAAACATAGAAAATATAAACATAAAGATTTAAAAAAGAAAAGAAATAAACATAGTAGAAAGTATTCTTCAAGCGATCATAGTACTAGTAATACACTATCATATAGTGACACATCAGAATATAAAAAAAGAAGAAAAACAAGTTATTCGAGCTATGAAAGAAAAAGTAATGAAGACCATTATAGTAAGCATGATATAGATAAAAAAAGAGAAGAAAAAAGAAAAAGAGAAAGAAAAAGAGAAAGAGAAAAAGAAAGAGAAAGAGAAAGAGGAAGGGAAAAAGATAGAGAAAGAAAAAGGAAAAAAGAAAGAAATATTGAGAGAAATAGAAAGAGGGAAAGAGAATTAGAGAGAGATAGAAAAAGAGAAAGAGAAGATGAAAAGAGAAGAAAAAGAGAAAGAGAAAAAAAAAGAGATAGAGATAGAAATAGAGAAAAGAGAAAAAAAGAAGAGGAGAGAAAAAAGCTAAAAGAAATATATGATGATGAAATGAAATCAATTAGTATATCTAACAGTGATGAAGACAGTGAACATATAATGTTAAAAAAAAATGAAAATAAAAATTCCTTAAAAGATGATAGTTCTACTAGCTCAGAAGAAAGTAATTCAATTAGTGATTCATCAATGTCCTTAAATGTTATGAAAAGTAAACAAAAGAAAGAAGTAGATATTGTAAATAATAAAAATAATAAAGATTGTATGAAGGAAAAAGAAAACAGGTAAATTATGTATACCTAATAAAATTAAAATGATATAATTTAAATATTCACATAGAAAATATTTTTTTTCTTAAATATTTCCATATTATGTTCTTATATAAAGATCCATATTCTGTTTTTTTTTTTTTTTTTTTTTTTTTAAGGAATTTAAAATCTTGTAAAGAGAGTAAAATAAAAGAAATAGACATTATACTAAAGAAAAAAAGTTACAAAAATTCTAAAAAAAAACTAAGAGCTTGGTCATCATCAGAAAGTGAAAACATAGAAGAAAAATAAATGATACAGAAATATAAATCTATAAAACAAAAATAAAAAAGAAGAAATATGTTGTGGAAATTTAATTTAGTAAAGTAATATTTTAATGTTACAATTTAAAAAAAGAATAAAGTTTTTTATTTTAAAAAGCAATTTAACAGTATATAATATTAATATAAAAATTGTGTATACTTGAATAATTAAATTTGAATTTTAAAAATGTAATAAATATCTATTTAATATCCCTTTTTATTAATAATATATAATATTATAAATAGTTTTTATATAATTATTAATATTATATTTATGAAGTCACTAAAAAAGTTATTTTTTGTGTAATGAATATTTAAATACAAAAGAAAAAAAAAAGATAAAATTAAAAAAAAAAAAAATATACTTTTTTTTTTAATATATGAATTTTTTTTTTTTTTTTTTATCACCTTTGATTAAAGTTATGTAAAATAATTATTTTGCCAAAATTAAAATTTCGCAATTAAAGACATGAAGACAAAAGAAAAAATTTATTAAATAATTATATCAAATTTTAAATTAATTTACAATACATATATATTACTCTCAAAGTAAAATATTTTTGTCCTCTGAATGTAGGTAAAATCTTCAAATATTTAAACCCTAATCCACTAAAATTAATTAACTTAAAGTAAATTTGTTCGTCTTTATATTTTTTATTTAAATGTTTAATTCTTTTTTCAATTGATTCTATGACACTTTTAGTTACTATATATCTATATATCATACACATAATGTAATGAACAAAAGCAATTAAAAATAAGCAGGAAAATAAAAATGCTATGAATAAATCATACTCTATTATGTAAAATATAAATATTCCTACATAACTAGTAACCATAAGTGCATATGAAAATGTTGAAATAAAAAATACTGAAAACCTTTAAAAAAAAAAAAAAAAATATATTAAACGTTGAATGGTAAAATTATTTTGAAGAAACTTTTTGACATATATTCAAAATAAATGTAATATAATAATGTTAGTATATATGTAACGATAATAATTCAAAGCTTAAAAATGTTATAAAACATAAGTTTATAAGATTGCAAAATAAAAAAAAAAAAAAAAAAGTTTAAATAATTACGATGGTATTTTAGATTTCATTAATATATTTAATTCTTTTATGATTCTTTGCATATTTTCATGTGAATATAAATATCTGGAATCATTTGACCATGGCTCAAATTTGTATTCATATCTTAATAATGATACGTACATTTGGATATCTGTATAATCGCAGACTGTTAAATCTACTTCAGGCTTTCCCAAATCTATGTTGAACATACTTTCATATGTAAAAAAGAAATAATTTAAAATAATTATGTGTGCATATTTTTTAAATTCTGAAGAAAAATAACACTATAAAAATTTATATTTTATAGAAAATGATAGAACATTAATAAAAATCCTAACATTGAAATTGTCTAAATAATATTTTAAAAAACAAAACTTTTAAAATTATTTGATTTCTTATATTTATAAATATTATGTAAAAAAGAAAAAAAAAATAATAAAATAAAAATTTATTTTATTTTTATAAAAGTAATCAATTGAATAAAATAATCCCTCAAAGTAATAATAATGTTATTATTATTATTAACGTTAATATTTTTAAGAATTAAAAAATGTACATATATTTGGCTAGTTTACTATGTATATTTGCTATTAATGAAAAAAAAATTAAAATATACAATAAAATATAAAACCAAAAAAATTTAGAAGCATTTAAGATATATATACAACATATATATGTATAATTTTTAAAATTATATGAATTTTTTACTTAATTTCTTTTTACATGGATTCTGACATTACACAATAATTTAATTTTTATTTTCTTATTTTTATTTATACAAAAATATGTAAATATATAAAAATTATAACATTCATAGCATTTTTTACATATCCATTTCATAACCTCTCCTTATATATTTAGAATTATGCTTCTCAGAGATTATTAGACATTTGTCATTATCATTTTCATTATTTTTAATGAACAATATTGTGAAGGAACCTTTTGTTATAAGATTTATAAAATAAAATTTTTAATATGATAATAATTAGCATATATTCAATAATACATAATCTAAATATAAGTAAAATTTTTCAAAATGGTACATATTTGAATAAATTTTTTAAGAATATATCATATTACTAAAAATAATATAAAAAAAAAAAAAAATCAAAATACATATAATTGTCAAATTTATATATTTTTTAAAAATTAAGCAAAATGCTATGAAAATTTTTCCTTTTTTTTTTTTTATAACTTTTACACTGTAAAATTATTTAATGATTTTAACTTTTAAAAGGGTATAATATGGATAAAAATAAAAAAAAAAAAAAAGACAAAAAAAAAAAAAAAATAAAATAAGTTATAAAAAACAGATTAAACATAAAGAATTAAAAAAAAATTTTACAATGTGTTGCCTTGAACTCGTTAAAAAAAAAGAAAAAAGAAAAAACATTGCATAAAAATTAAATTTTTTTCAATTAATTTTTAATAAGGACTTTTTTTGGTATGTTTTATATTTTTTTGTTTATAATTTTTCTATGCTGTCCTAATGAATAAAAAAAAATATGGAAATTCTATAATTTCATTTTTTATAGATTTTAACAAAAATATATATTTACTTTCTATGTATATAAAAAAATTATATATATATAATAAGGGTAAAATAAACATAAGAAATCAAAAGAATAATTAAATGTTTGCTTTTAAGTATTTATGAGTAAGGGGAGCCCTGTAAAAGTGAGATGTTAAGGATTTAGATCTCTCAAGCATCTTTGCATAATTATCTCTCATTGTAAGATCACTCTTTAAACTATTAGAACTATTTACATAGTTTCTACTAGTATTACTGTTTAAATCATTTATATCTAGTGCTCTAGAATATTTATTAGTATATAAATTTAAATTAGATTCTACAGATTTTGCAATGTTTCGTGAAAAATTACTCATATTATCAATGTTTAATGGTGTATTAGTATTGTTATTTTGTTCTAAGATGTTATAGTTATATTTGTTACTCATATAATTTTCTTTTGAAGAATTATTTTTGTATCTAATACTAAAATCTTTATTTTCAAAATCACTAACTACATTACAGGAATCATCAACAACATTTGGTTTTTTGACAGTACTTATAATAAAACTACTATTATTATATGTATCTACAGTATAATTATTTTTATGATCAACTGAACTGTACTTATTTAATGAAACATCGTTATTATAATTTTTTCTGCTTCTATTAACAAATTTGCCTATATTATCATTTTCATACGAATTTCTATTAAAAGTTTCTTTTTGAGGGATATTTGGATTTAGAAGTATTGAACTCATTCTTCTTGCTACGTATTCATTATGTGAAAGAGAGTTTTTTAAATGATTATTAACAATATCTTGTTCTGCCTTATCTATATTTTCTAGAACATTACTAACTGTATTTTTAGAATTTTTATTGAATAATGTTTCAGTATTTTTCTTTGAATTGACATTAAATTTTGAGTTACATGCATTACTGTTATTTATAATCACTTTTAAATCATTACTGTTTTGGTCAGACATTACTTCCTTATTTAAAAATGTTTTATTTTTACCATATTTATCATTAATATTATTGTAATAAGAAAAATTGGAATTATATTTACTATTATCTTCTTCATAAAAACTCTTCCTAGGAATATTTTCACTAATTCTATTAGTTAAATTATGAGTATTACCGTTTATAGTGCTTCGACGATTACTTTCACTTTTTTCCTCTTCTATTTTTTCATAGTGAGTTTTTCTCTTTAAATAATCCATTTTTACTTGATCATTAAATAAATTTTTCTCTCCTAAATGAAAATCATATAAATTTCCATAATTACTTTTTCTATTATTATATAAATTTAGATCATCGTTTAAATTTTCAATGCTGTTACAATATGTGCTATTTGTTTCTTCTTTATTATTATAATCTATATTACTTTTACTATTTAAAGGATGGTCTTTGTTAAGATTTCTATAGTTTTCATAAAAATTATCTTCCTTATGACTATTTCTCTTTTCTTTTTTTAAATTAATGTAATTTTCATAACCATTATTCATTTGATTATCATCACTTACATCTTTTAAAGTATTTATATTTACATCATCAATATTATCATACTCATTTCTATCAATAAATTCATGATTATTGTTATTATTATATATATTTTCATTTAAAATATTCCTATTTTTATCAATGTAACTATTTTTTTTTTTTAAATCATAATAAATATCTTTTTCATTCAAAACTAAATCTAAATTATCATAGTCCTCATTGCTCCTTCTATTTGTATTGAAATCTCTTTTTTGTTTGTCTTCTTCAAAAAAGGCACGCAATTTATAGATTTTATTTTCATAACTACTAATTCCTCTATTAATTTCATTCATTAATTCTAAGTTTATTCTCATAAAGCACTTTTTATCATTAAAATTAAATGAATTATCATTTTCAATTATACCCCTTTTAGAATACTCATAATATATTTGTTTTGCTATTTCTAATATATAGTTTTTATTTTGATTTTCGTTGATTACTATTTGCTCATCAATTTTTTTGAGTTCAGACAAGGCTAAAATAATATCATTTGTATCAATATTTTTATATATATCATCGTTTATATTTTTTATTTGGCTTCCTAAAATTGCCATTATACTATAATTATTTTTTTTATTACTTAGCTCATCAAGATCAACACTTTCATTTTGAAGTTTATGTTTATCAACTAATAAAGATAAAATATTGTTAATTTTATATTTTTCGTATATTTCACTATGATAATAATTTAACTTTAGCATTTTCATTTTTGTTAATAAGAATTTTTTTTTTTTTTATCAATTCCTTTTGAGATATTTATTTACGCTAATGTGTATTATAAAAAAAAAAATTTCATTTGCGATGAGTATGCATTAGTATCAATCATAAAATTAAGAAATGCTATTTATATAATTATTTAAAAAAAAATTTTAACAAAAAAATATATATTCTTAAAACAATTAAATTTTAATTTATGTAAATAAAAATGTAAAAATAATAAAAAAAAGAAAAAAAATTGTTTTTTTATAAATATATATAATTTTATATATGTATTCTTTAATTTTTACATATGAAAATCTCTTTAAAAAAAAAAAATAAAATATGCTATATAAAATACTTGTTTAATGTTATGTTTAATATTTTGAAATAATTGAGATAAGTGAATACGTTTTTCATAATTTTCCTTGTTTATATATTAAAAAAAATATATACATTTTAATGTTTTAATTGTTAGGAATAACAAAAAAAAAAAAAAAAAAAAAAAAAAAAAAAAAAAAAAAAAAAAAAAAAAAAAAAGAATATAAATAAAAATGAATAAAATATATTAATGAAATTTTAAAAAAAAACTATAAAAATAAATACATTTAGGTATTTAAAAATATTTTTATTATTATAAAATAAAAACTGTGTATTACACGTGTTTTATAATATTGAAAAAAAAAAAAAAATAAAAATAAAAAGATAAAATAACATGAATAATAAAAATAATATGAAAAAAAAAAAAAAAAAATAGCTAAATTTAAAATAATAGTAAAATATAAAAAAGAAAATTATGAACAAGTACAGTTAATAATTGCAACCTTTTTTTTTTTTTATTAATGGTGCATAATTTACTTTATGAAAAACAAAAGCTATATATATATGTATATATGTCAAATAATATTATATTTTGTTCAGTTCATAATGCTCATATTCATCACTTCCTGATAAATAAGTACTTGTTAGTTGAACGTATTTAGGTGTATTTCTCTTTTTTACAAAAAAATTGTTATATAATTTACGTTTATTTTTATAGGATTTGTACGTAAATAATAAAAGTAAGAAAATTGCATACAAAAATATGGCTGCAACCAATGCTTTTTTCCCATTTTCTCGGTGCTTTTTACTTAATAATAAACTTTCTTCATTTAAATTGATCATAAGAAATAATATTGATAGAAAAGCAACACATGCTGCATCGATAAAAATAAGTATATTAAGAAACATACTCATTTTATCGCTAATTATTATCAATAAGCGAATTTTGTTTTTGTTTTTTTAATATCTATATTAGAAATATTTAGGTCATACAAAATTTATAATATGTTTTGTATAAAAATAGAAAAGTTATATAAAATATGTAAATTAACTCTTGTATTAAAATTTGATCTTAGAATATATATATATAAAATTTTCAGTTTAAGTTTGAAAAAAGCTTTTCGATATGTTCATTAAAAACTGCAGAACGTATAGGCATATCAATATCATAAAATGGATTCTTCAGTATAATGTCACTATACAGTTCATACACCTTTTTTAAATAAGAGTTCATCTCAATATTTAAGTCATCTTTGTGTACTATAAATATTTTAATACCTGTTAATGTATCATAACATTGGATTTTAAATCCATCTCCTTCAATTGTTTCTATACCTTTTTTTTCTAATAACTTAAAGATATTATTTTTTTTTTCATTTAATGAATGTACATTAATTTTTTCAGAAATTGTGGAAATACCATGCAGCATAGAAGCAAGTCTTATTTCTTCATTACTATTTAATTTTATTTCTTCACTGAAATGCTGAAAAGAAGTTTTTACAAAATCGTTGATTCAAATAAAAAATAAAAATTAAAATTAGATTTAGAAAAAAATATTCAGAATTAATTCAAAGGAAATTTCTAACTGCTTATGTAATAAACAAGATTATAAAAAAAATATAAAAAATATAAATTATATGTATTTATGTATAAATATAATTATTTTTTTTCTTTTTTTTTAAACTCAAAAATTTAGAAAATGTATATATAACTTATTTTCTTAAGAAAAAAAAAAATTCGTAAAATTTTTTTTAAATCATTTAATTTTAGTATAAAAAGTATATTAAGCGTAAAAAATAGGAGGAATTATTTTTATCTTTTAAAAAGTGAATATAAAAAAATAAAAAAAATCTTTTCTTTAAATGTGTGTAATTAGGGTAAATGTATATAGCTATATACCTTTTGATATACTAAAGTACCATGCTGGTTATTGACATAGAGAGAATACATTTTAGTTCTTTATTTCAATTCAAATTATTTTGAATTTATATAGATTCATAAAATATAATAAAGAAATTTTTTTTTTTATTTTAATTCTTTCCTTTCTTATTTTTTATTTTTCCTTTTTAATTATTTCTCTTTTTTTTTTTTTTTTTTTTTTTTTTTTTCTTATTTTTATAATTAAATTTTTAAAACAAACATTAATTTATTGTGTTTTATTGTACTTATTATTTTATTTTTTTTTTATATGAATTGACAAAATAAAAAAAAATATTAAATAGAAAATTGAAAAAAAAATTGAATAAAAAAATTTCGCAAAAATTCATGTATGTTTCATAAAAATACTACAAATTTTTTTTTTTTTTTTAGTAGAAAATCTAATTTGTAAATTTTAAAAAAAAAAAAGAAAAAAAATTATGCATATTTCTAATTTGTTTTTATATAGATAATCATGAAATATTAATTTTTTAATATAACAATCAATTAAAGAGGCTTGAGTCGAATAAAAATAAAAAATATTATAAAATTAAAAAGTACTTTAAAAAACTAAATATTTAAAAAATTTTTTTTTTTTTTTAAAATATTATTTATTATAAAAACATATATATATGATATAATTTTGTTAACATTTACATTAAATTTTATATTCTTGTATTTTTAATTAAATAAATAAAAGGTGTTTAATAGAAAGATGAATGTTAAAAGTATTATTGAAGAGGTACAGGCAATAAAAGTTTTACCTCATATGATGTTTAATGCATCAAAACTTAGTAAGTAGAAAATATTTAAATAAAATTATATGTTAATATTAAATTATATGAAAAATAAAAAAGAATGTATACTTTTTTAAAGAATAAATTAATAAAAATAATATTAAAATTTATTAAATTTAAATTATAATATATATATTTATAAGAATTTTCACAACATTAATAAACATATATATATATAGATAAACATATTTTTCATTTATAATAATATTTTAAAGTATCCTAGAAAAAAAATAAAAAAGAAATGTTCTTTTTTTGATTTTCTTATTAAGTGTTATTTAAATATATATTAAATTAAAAAACAATTTTATTATATAAATATATTTATTTAAACATATACATGTATATATATTTATTTTTATCTGTAGAGGTGTTAAATGATTATGTAGATATTGCATTTGAAAACAACGAATATTTTGATAATGAAGTTATGTTAACGTTGTTAAGATTATTTTGTCTGTATCCACATTGTTATGATAGAATGGCAGTTAAAAAAATTTTAATATGCGTCTTATATAATATAAATGAGATTGATATGAATATATATCTTAGTTTAATAAATTCTAATTTATATGATGAAAACATAAAAAGTGTTGTGTATTTACACGATTTAATTAAAAAATGTCAATTTAAAAAGTTATGGGATTGCATATATAATAATGAATCAGACAATAATAATTATGATTATTCCTTTTTAAAAAATAATAATAATTTTACTTTTAGTATTAGGAAATATATTTTGAATTCAATTTCTTTAAGCTTTGAAAATATTAGTTTAAAAAAAATGTCTGAATATTTAAATATTCATGATTTTTCGGAAATAGAAAAGTTTTTAAACGAAAATAAGTGGACTATTAAACAAGTGAACTACAAAGGTGAAGATCAATATATTTGCTGTAACGGAAATATTGAAAACATTCAACATAAAAAAAATATTAATACATATTTTAACGAAGATAATATATCCTCCTACATTACTAAACTAAATAACTAAAGCTTCTATATTTTTTTTTTTTTTACATATTTCATATATTTTTTTATATATTTATAATTTTTTTTTTTTTTTCCCTCTTTGTTTAATATTACTTACTTATATAATTAAATAAACAAAAAAAAAAAAAAAAAAAAAAAAAAAAAAAAAAAAAAAAAAAAAAAAAAAAACAGGAAATATTGTTGTAATATGTTTTATATTTTAAATCGAAATTATAATTAGTACACTTATGAAATTATAATAATAAGGAAATAAAAATAGTTAAATATATATATAAATTAAAAAAAAAAAAAAGAACAAAATATTAAAGTAATAAATTTTTTTTTCTTCTAATAATTTTTACTATTTTATATATCTATATGAAGCACTTTATAAGATATATTTTAATTTTATTTTAAAAATTATATTGACAAAAAAGAATTGAAAGGAAAAAGTATCATTTGTTTCTACTAAAAATAAAATGAAATACGAATTTGGAAAAATTCACTTATTTAAAATTTAAATTTTTCAACTTCATTATTTTATTAAATTATTCAATGAAAAGAAACAATTTCGTATGTTTTTATGTTAGAAATTAAGAAATCATAAAAGATTCATTCTTTTTTTTATTAAAAAAATTTTAAGCATAATTTAAAAAAATCTTGTAGATTGAATACAAAAAAATTTATTGACAACATTATAGAATAGTTATATTTCATTATTATCTTAATTCAATACATATATATATATAACTTCTTTTTCATATTTTAAAAATTTTTTCTTAATAATTAGAAAAGAAAAATTATCACACTAATATAGATCTTTGTTTTTAATATATAAAAATGTGATGATAATTTAAGCTAATATTACTATTTAAATTATAAAAAAAAAAAAATAATATATATATATATAATAAATTAATTTCCCTTTAATTTTTTTTTTTTTTTATAACATTTAAAAAAGTGTTCTTATTTAAATGATTTCATTTTTCTGTTTATGAGTTTATTTTTAAACTAAAATGAATAGTATAGGTATAGTTACTAACAAACTTTAAGTATGTATTTGAAGTTACAAAAGAATAAAATAATAATTTAATACATACAAAACTAATTTCATCTAAATTTATTTTACTATATATTTATTTTTCAATATTATGATTTAACCTTTTAAAAACAAATTTTTTATTTTTCTATATAATTTCAAAGGTTTTACTTTTTTTTTATTATAAAATGTATAATAAAAATATCTATTCTTTGTATGTTTAACTATATAAATAAATATATTTGTATGTGCCTATATTTAAAAGTAAAAATATATATTTTAATAAAATATTTGCATTATTACTTTTAAAACAGTAAGTTGTTTTAGTTGCAATATATATCTTTATTTTCATATATTATAAAGATCCTAAATTCTACATAATTTCATTGAATTTAAATAATGCAAAATATTTTATCACATTACTCTTTTGCTTTATTGTATTTTATTTCTATTATTCCCTTTTTTATCTTTAATTCATATATATAATATTAAGATTTATATATATTTAATTTAATTTCATCTTTTATTAAACGTTTTTTTTTATTTTATTAAATTTTTATGTATTTTTTTTATAATTTATCTTTTTTTTTTAAGGAAATTTTTTTTTTTTTTTTTCATATATTTTATGATATTTTTTTAAACTTAATTTTTAATTTTCGTTAAAATAAAAACATAAAATTTTTGGACTATTTTTTTTTTAATTATATATCTTTTTATTTCCCTTTTTTTTGCATAAATATATTTTTTTTTATTTTCCTTCGTTATTTAACATACATATATAAACACAAATATTTCTTTTTTTAATATACTTTTTATAATATTTTAGTTTACAAAATTATAAATACATAAACGATTATTTTTTTTTTCATATTTACTCATTTCTATGTTTATATTTTATCAATAAAAAGTATTAAATATATAAATTTAGTGGTTTGCACCTAGTAATTATTTTTCTCTTTTTTTCATACTTTTTTTCTCCTTATATTTCTATTTTTTTTTTTTTTTTTTCTGTGTTTTTATAAAATTTAATGAAAATGTTAAGGAAATAAGGGTGATTATTTGTATCTAACTTGTGAATATAAATAATAAAAAAGGTTTTTTTTTTTTTTTTTTAAATATGCTTCAAAAAAAAAAAAATTATTGCTAATTTTTAACAAAATATGAAATGTAATTTTAAGATAGATACAAAAAGAAGGAATTTTAATACAAATAATTATAATTCATTAAACAAAAAAAGATATTTATCAAATGATTATACAGATAATGATAAAAAAATGAGTAATAAATCAAAAGAAAACAAATTTTATAAAAGTTATTCATCAAAAAAGTTAAATGATTTCGCTAATAAAGAAAAGTACGAAAAAACAGAAAGAATGTATTTTGAAAATAACATAAACAATATTAAAAGAATTGGAAGTTCTGATAATCATCAAGAAAAAAAATATAAAGAAAAAAATATGTTTAACAAATATGGTGAAAATTCATACAAAAAATATTATTATAAATCAAATAATTATCATCAAGATGAAAAAAAAAATTATATTAATAATAATTATAATATGAAAAATATATATAATACAGATAATGAAAAAAATGATTCTCCTAATTTTAAAAAAGGTAATAAAAATAAAAAAGATGAGGAAAATTTAGTTGAAAGTTTAAAAAGTGAACATGAAGAAACATACTTTAATACTTATAATAGTATTAATAATCAAAGGCAAATTCAAAAAACAAAAAGTACCCATATAAAAGGAAATCAAAATGTTATAAATCAAAATAGTTTTAATGTATCAAATTGTAACATACAAAACGAGGAATATTTATTAAAGAATAATAGAAATGATAATTTATATTTATATAAAAATAATATAAAAAATTTTAATAAATTAAATGAAAATTATGGAAATAATGAATTAGGAATAATAATTCAGAATTCTTATGAGAAAGATTCACATAATTCATTTAATAACATTAATGAAACAATGTATAAAAGTACAGATAAATTAAATACGAAAACAAGAGATAATATTAACAGTTATAATTATAATATGGATAATATGAATTACAATAATGACAATAATAATTATAGAAATGAATATTATAATAATGATATTTATAATAATGAATATTACAATAATGATAATTATAATTATTATAACTGTGAAAATAATAATAATTACAATAATATTTATCACAATAATATCAATAATAATGATCATATCAATAATAATGATAATAGGAATAATAATAATAATAATAATGCTTCAAACGTTAAGTATAAAAATAGTTATAATAATTATTATAATAAAAATTATAAGTTTCAAACAAATTATAGAAATAATGATAATTATTCTTACAATTGTACACAAAATAGAGGAAAACATGAAGAAAGTAAAATTAGTTCTTCCTTAACATTTGAGTTAGATAAACAAAATATAAAAATAGATGAAAACAATAAGATGGTTAATAGCAAAATCATTTATAGAGATAGTGATTATTGTTTTTCAAAACATGAAGAAAATATACGTTTATACATTAAAGAAAATAATGTAAATTATAATAGAAAGGATAAAGAAAATTTTGAAATATTTAACAAAAATGAAAAAAAAAAACATGAAAATGATTATTTTTCCAAAAAAATACATGAAAGTGATAATATTTATAATAATTATAAAGAGAACAAAGAAATTAGCATAGATGATAATTATGCAAAGGGAAAAGAAAAAAAGATAACAAAAAAGGATAATAGTATAATGAAACATCATAATTATTATAAAAGTAATAATATTAACAGCTATGGGAATTGTAGTAATAATAAAAATTATAGGCACAATTATAATAACTATAATAATAATAATATTGATGATTATAATAATTATTATAATAATAGGAATGAATTTGATATATATAAAAATGAAAAGAAGGATTATAAGAATTATGAAAATAATAATAAGGTAAAACCAATATTATATAAAGATACAAAAGAAATTCACAGAGAAAAAACAAAAAAAATCTTATTAACGGAAGATATTAGAAATAATGCTCAAAGTAATATAGAAAAATTATCTATTTATAAATCAAGGGATCAAATAATTGAAATGATAAACAAAAATGATATCACTTTTATACATGGGGAAACAGGTTCAGGGAAATCAACATGTGTTCCTAAATTTTTATTTGAAGAAAATTTAAAAAGAAACAAAAATATAAATATTATTATAACTGAACCAAGAAGGATTGCATGCATCTCCTTATCAAAAATATTATCCGAGTTAACTAATGAAAAATTAGGAGAGAAAATTGGTTATAGAATTTCTGGAGAATCTTTATATGATAATGAAAAGACAGTAATTACATATATAACAATTGGATATCTATTTAAGCTATTTTTACATCATAAAAACATTTATAAGAAATTTACACATGTAATAATTGATGAAATACATGAACGTAGTATACTACTAGATATTGTATTACTATTCATAAAGTTGTATTTACATAACAAAAAAAAAGAAGAACAAATGTTTAAATTAATTATTATGTCAGCAACTATGCAGAGCAATTTATTTTACTCATATTTTAAACATCCCAATATAAAAATGGATTCTATATTCATAGGAACAAAAATATACAATATTGATACCTTTTATATTGAAGATATAATAAATTATACAAAATATGAAAATTATTCATCAAATGTATGTTCATTGAAAAATGAGAAAAACGAGAATAGTAATAATAAAGAAGATTATATTAATGAAAGTGTGATAGAATTTATACTTAGAAAAAAAAATTGTAAAAAGTTACATTTATCTAGTAGCTCAGAAATGTTACTACATAAAATAAAAAATGAATATGATAAAAATATATATCTGTTTAACAATAAAAGTACAGAACATATAGAAAATAAAGATTTAGACGTGGATGAAATAATACCAGCAAATGTTTTTTCAAATATATCTAATCTCTGTCTTGAATTAGTTTATAATTTATGTTTAAATGGAGATAGTGTCTTAATATTTTTATCAGGAATGCAAGATATAACAGATATGTATCATCATTTAAGTATTTTAATAAATAATTCCTCTAATAATTATGACATTAAGTTTAATATTTACATGTTACATAGTTGTTTATATGACAACACAATTCATAAATTAAAAGGAAATGATACAGACATCAATATTTTCTTATCATCCAACATAGCTGAAAGCTCAATTACTATTCCTAATGTAAGACTAGTAATTGATTTTTGTATACAGAAAAATATTGAATATAATGCAAAAAAAAAGGCTCATATTTTAGTAAAAAAGTGGATAAATAAATCATCAATGGAACAAAGAAAAGGAAGATGTGGAAGAACTTGTCATGGTATTTGTATAAGAATGATAAGTAAGCATTTTCTAAATTTATTAAGAGATCATAAGATATCTGAAATTTATACACATAGCTTACACTTATTATATTTATATATTTTAAAAAGTATGTATGTGTTAAATAGATTAATAAATAGAAATAATTCCTGTAGTGATAATACTAGTAATAATAAATACAAGCAAAAAAAATTAACTATATATGATGTACTAAGTATGATTATAGAAAAACCATCAAAAAAAAAAATAAAAAGTACTAAATACGAATTAGAAAAAGTCAAAGCTATAATTAAAATAAAAAATAAATTAGTGATATCTATAATTGGACAAATTATGATTCGATTTAATTTAACTATTAATTTTTGTAGATTGTTATTATACGGTATAATATTAGATTTAACTTTTGATTCTATAATTATTATTAGTATATTAATTACTAATGATATTTTTCCTACTTTTAATTTATACTCATCTAAAAATATTTATTCTTATGGTGTTTCATTACAATTGTCATTAAAACAAAAAAGCTATTTTGATGGAAAGACTTACTCAGAACCCATTATGTTGAGAAACGTTTTTTTAGAATGGTTATGTATTTTTTTATTATATATTCAAACATTAAAAAATGAAAATAAATTTAATAAAAATGATTTAAAAAGTTATTATATTAACACATGTACTATTATGAATAAAAAAAATTATATTAATGCAAAAAAGTTGTTGTGTGTTATTAATAGTGTTGAGAACTTAAGTAGAAAAGTGTTAAAAATATTAAATAAAAATAGTAATGCTTATAAGTCTTCTATTTATTTATTAAAACTTTTAAGAGGAAATATTTGTGAAAATGTAAATGTGAAAAATGTTTTTTTTATAGTTACCAAATATTCTTATTATGATTATTCTAATCAAAATCTTTATTTAAAATTTCTGCTTTCTTTATCATTTACACCATTATTTATACACGGAACTCCAAATTTACCACTAAAAGACTTGAATGATGGTAAAAAAAAAAGCAAAAAATTGTTAAATGTGCTAAATTTTGTAACAGAAAAGAAATTAAACATAAAAAATTGTATTTATTTTAGTGGTGTTTATATATATGATATCAACATTTTAAAAAAAGCTTTGTATATAATGTGCCCATATTTATCATTTGACGTTTATTATAATAAAAATACTTATTTTGTTCATTTTAATAATAAAGGAATTAATAATTATTTGAATAGTTGCCAAAATAAAATGATTAGTAGTTCTATTTATAATATAAACAAAGATAATAATAATGACGAAGTTAAAAACAGCGATACCTACAGCAATGATGGAAATTACAATTATAGTAATAACAATTTATTAATAAATCATTATTTAAATACCAATAACAATTTAGATAATTTTAATCAAGTTAACAAAATTGTAAACAGCAATGTTTTTATGAATCATTTTTCTGGCTCATTTTCAAAAAGAATTGATCCAAAAAATTATCATGAAATAATTGAAAAAATAAAAAGTGAATTAATTTATATGTATAATAATAATGTAGAAAAAAATATTTTTACTAATTTCTATAGCAACATTCTTAATTTAATTTCTCCAGTTGATGCAATATTTCCCGTTTATAAAAATCAGAATGATGAAATTAACAATATATCATTAAGTACAAATATTATTAATATGTTTTCTAATGGAAAATGGAATTTTTCTCTTCCATTATACAACAATAATAAAAATTCAAATGATATTAGTGATTACTTTAATCATAATTATGAACTAAAAAAACCTAAACATTTATTTTTAGTTAAATGGATACTACTTAATACAGATAATTATAAAATAAAAAAGAATAAACAAAAAAATAGTAATAATGATAATAACAAAGAAGATGAAAATAACAACTGTAAAGAAAATAGTGAAATAAATGAAAATTATAACTTATCATTTTATAAAGAAAATTCCGAAAAAAATAGAAACTATTTAAAATATGATATAATAAATGACAATAATAAAAATTATCAGAAAAGTTCTATGAAAAATACAGATCAAAGATATTATATGAAAAATGAAAATGGTAATAATGAAAACCACCTTGAATTTAAAAATAAACAAGCAAATGATAATGAACATAATATTAATGAATATAAAAATGAGGATAAAAAAATAAAACAAATAAAAAAAGAAAAGGAAAACTCAACAGAAAATGAAGTATATAGTAGTTATGATGAGGTAGAAGATGATGATAATGATAGTGAAAAAAACTCTAATGAGTATAATTATGAGAACAATAAAAATGAAATTATTTATGATTCAAGTTCTGTATGTAGCGAACAAAATAAAAAAATGAAACAAAAAAAAATGAAATGTAATTTAAATTTTAGATCAGTTCTAGGATTTTTATCATTATGTCCATTTGTTTATGATTTACAAAAAAATATTTATGAAAATCAAACTTCTGATATATATGCTGTTTGTGCAAGTATTGATTATAGTTGTACTAATGATGCATATACGTGGGTTAATTATGCTACAGTTATTCCAAACAAATATTTTTTAAGTTTTTTTTTATCCTCTTTACCTTATCATGACAATGTTATTTTTCAAACAAGGACAAATTTATTAAATACTGATATTTTATCTATAAACATATTTGATTCAAAAGAGATACTTTTTAAAAATGTTAAAAAGAATAAAAATAAAAATAAATTAAATGATTCATATTCTAGCATAAATAATACAAATATTAACAAGTATGATTTAATAAGAATAAATTATGTCAGATATGTGCTATCTAAAATTTTGTTATCATTTACATTAGCATATAATAATTTAGAAGATAAAGAAAATAATGATTTTATTATCAAAAATATCAGTAATGATATTTCTATGAAAAATGAGAGAATTCATAATTTATATGATAATTTTAAAACATATTCTTCAAAAAATGAAAAGAATGAAATTCATCATTTAAAAGAACATTGTTTAAATCAAACGAAAACTAAAAATAAGGATACTGACTCGGAAGAGATAGAAGAAGAGGATTATTTTAGTGAAAATGATGAATTAAGTGATATTGAGGAGAATAACATATTAAAAGAAAATTTATATTTAAAAAAAATTATTTTAAATATGATAGATGAAAATAATACTGAAAAAATAAATTACAATAATTATAAAATTGAAAATTCAGATGACCACTTTAATTTAAGTTACTTATATAATGATGAAAATTTGGAAGATTTAAATGAAAAGTGGAATAATTGTAAGGGTGAACATCTAATTAATAAATATGATTATTTATGTAATTTTTTAAAAAGTGAGCAAAATTTTTATACATCAAAAAATATTAAAGAAAAGACATTAAATTCTACCTCATTAGTAAAAAGTTGTTATTTGAATAATAATTTTTCTGTACAAATTTTAAATTCTATTAATGCTTATACTAATTCAGATTTAGAAGAATTTATCTTTTTTCAGCCAATTAATTTTTCATCAATCAAAAAAATTAATTTTCAATTAAGATCTATTTATTATAATGAGCACTCAACTAATGAAAATTTTTGAAAAGAAGGTTAAAATATATATATAGAACAATATATATATATATATATAATTATATATACATTAATTAGTATGAAGTATATTTGTGATATACAATTCTTATGAAGTGATTAAAGTTTTTCATATTTAAAATAAAAAAAATAAAATGTATATAAAAAATAAAGAAAATATTAAAAAAAAATTATTTTTACATTCATCACAATATTTAGACAAAAACAGTAAAAAATTTTGTTTATTTTTAATTAAATAGTTCTCAAGTTTTCGTTTATTTTATTTAATATATATATATATATATATATCTTTATTTGGTCTATTTTTATTTATTCATTTTTTTTTTTTTTTTTTTTTTTATTGTTTATATTAAGAATGTTAATAAATTTTTTACCCGTAAAAATATTTGTTCATTTTTTAAAAATGTTTATATATACGTTATTATTAAAATTATAATTAAAATGCTTATAAAATTCTTGATTTTTTATTATTATTATTTTACATATTTATAATTGTTTCAAAAAAAATTACATATTGTTTCTTAATTTAAAATGTTTTTTTTTTATTTTTTTTTATATTTAAGAATTTTTTATAAGAAGTTATGAATCCCTTAAATTCCAAAACTATTATATATTTTTATTATTATTATGATTATTTGACTTTTATGAAAAGAAAAATAAAAAAAAAAAATTGAAAAAAATAATTTATCCGACTTATATAATTTTTAATATTGTTTTTTAAAAAAAAGAAGAAAACTAATTATGCTTAAATATGAAATCAAATATATAATTATGGTAGAAAATATATTTTTTAAAAATTATCAAAATCTATACTTTTATAAAGAAAGAATTCAAAAAAAAAAAAAAAAAAAAAAATTAACTTTGTTACAAAATAATATTCCATTTTTTTTCTCTTATTTTAAAAAAATAAAAGCAACTATTGTTTACAATTCTTCATAATAATCTTCATACTGATTAACTTCATAGTTTTTTTCATTTTTAATTTTATTATCTTCTGTAGGATGATTATTCATTAATTCCTTATCATTATTTGTTTGGTGTTCTTTCATTAAATACTCATTTTTTTCTACTTTATTTTCATTATTACTCAAATTTTTTTTAGTGTGTATTTTTTCCAGATATTCATAATAATCATCGTAATCTTCATAATCTTCATATTCATCTTCATTTTCATCTTCATTTTCATCCTCATTTTTATTTTCTTCTTCATTTTCATCATTATCTTCATTATAGTCCCCTATTATTTCATCATCATATTCATTCAAATATTCTTCACTATCATAACTACTCTTACTTTCATTTTCATCCTTTTGCCACTTTAAATCAGATAAATTACTATTGTTTTTCTCAATGTAATTATTAGAATATCCCTTTTTTATCTTTTTTTTACTTTTATAAGTTCCACTAGTTTGCAAATGCTCATAATCATTTATTTGTTTTTTAAAAAATTTGTTCAAATCAAATAAATGATTGAAATTTTTGCTTTCATGCATTTTATTATAAATTTTCTTATTCATATTAATTATGTTTTTATTCGATTCAATAGTATATATATTAGTATAATATAAATAATGAAAGATATTATCAATCATATTTTTATAATTTCTATCTAAATAATCAACTTGTAAACTCTTAGTACTAGTATAATTTTTATTATAATTTACTAATTTATCAAAATAAACTTTTTTTGTTTCTTCTACATTTTTGTCTTTATTTAATTTATGATAAGTAATAGGAACAATAGTATTTAAATATATTTTGTTGTATTCATTAGGATTGTTTTGAAAAAATCCTTCAAAATTTATAGCTAAAATTTCTAATTCTTTTGCCCAACTTCCTAAAATCATATCATCCATGAAGGAATTTTTTGTAGGACATATACAACTATCGCACATATATATTCGTTTTGCTGTTTCTTCATTAATTAATATACCTGCTCCACCTGTTAAGTAGTCATAATAATTTTTTTCAGAAAAAGAATTATAGGAATATCTCTGTCCTACATATATAGGTATAGCACTATTATTTCTACCTGACTTATTAATACAATATTTTGGTACATAATCATATTTTTTCAGTGAATTAATAGTTTTTAAAAAGTTATTTTTTAAGTATTGATATAAAATTATAGATTTATTTTGAAAATTTTGAAGAAAAAAAGGTTCATTTTCTTCTAAAAATTCGTATGATTTTATGTATTTGTTATACATATATTTTTTTGAATGCTCACACTCATTCAAAGTTAAATTCATTACATCAATTAAATTTTTAACATTTACATAAGTGTCATCATCAGCAATAAAAAAATATTTTTTTTCTGAATTTTTTTTTACATATTCTTCATAAAAATAAAAAATCATATGTTTTAATTTTTCACACAATCCATCTTTCGAAGTAATTTTTGTATCCATATATAAATTATCATACTTAGTGCTTTTTTTGTCAGACATATATATAACATCTATATTAATACGTTCAGAATGAAAAACATTATTTAAAAATTCATTACTTAAAATTCCATGTTGTTTTTCTTTTATTTTACTTTCATAATTAAAATTATTAAAAATTCTTTTTGTATTTTCTTCATTATCATAAGTATTTTTTATATAAGGTATTCTTTCTTCTGTGTTTATACTGGTTTTTACACCAATTAAAATATTTTTATATCCCAATGTGTTTTCATTTTCGTCTAATAAATAATCATATTTATTGTTAACTTTGTTTAATTTCATTTTATACTCATCTATATTACTAAATGTTATATCTTCTGTTTCTTTAATATAATTTTCCAACTTTGTGTCATTTTCAATGTTCATAAGATGAAATTTATCATATCCAAGTAATGATTCATTTCTTGATCTTATAGAATAACTAATACAAGTAGATATTGGATAGAAAATATTAAAATAAGATAAAATTAATTCTGCTAGTTCATTATCTTCATTCTTCTGATTATAATTTTTTTCTGTATTATTTTCTTTATCATTTTTTATTTCGATATTTTGATTATTCTCATTATTATCTTTTTGTGGTTTTTCTTTGAGATCTTTGAATAAGTATAACACTTGATAATATTTATATAATTCAAAGTTATTTAAATCGTTATCTAATAAGTGTATGTTTTTTTCATCATTTAAGCATGTATTTTGAAAAGTTGTTAATTTTACATTCAAATTTTCTTTAAGAAATTGTGATACCTCATAAATGTAATCTATATTGATAATTTCAAAATTTGTTAATGTAAGTGATTTTTTATAAATATTTCTTAATAATGTTATATCTATTAAAACACCGCTATTAAAATATGGAAAATAGAAATTATTATCTAAATTATAGTGATGAATAATAGAAGGAGATTCATCATTTAACCCATAACCAATAAATAATCCATTATAAATGCTGTCTTTTATAACATATTTATCACTACCTTTATCATCATTATTTAAAAAAAAAATTTTTTCATTTCTGATTATTTTTTCTATATCATTTATATTAATTTGTTCACCGTTTTTTTTCTTTATTTCTTCTTTTTCTTCCATTTTTTCTTTTATTTCATTATTGTATTCATTTAATATTTCCTTTATATTAATATTCCCTTTTTTGTATATGGATTCATTATATATATATTTATCTAATTTTCTTAAAAAGTACTCAAGGTTAAGTGGGTGTATTCTAGAAAAAGACGTTAAAAGAAATATATAACGAATATTTTCTCTATCATCTTTATCTTCTTCTATTTTTTTATAGGTGTCCACTAATAAACGAAAAATAGAAGAGTGGTTTATGTTTTCAAGATTTAATAGAGTTTCATCTAATGTATATAAATTTTTATCATTTTCTAAATCAAATACTAAACTATGAATTAAATTTTCACTAAAACTTAAATGAACAATTGGTTCATTTAATAATAAAAACTTTGTTCTCTTTTTTATATTATTAAACAATCTTTCCTTTATATTCGAACATTTTACTAACACATTTAAAATAAATAAAATCAATATTATTCTCATTTTCATTTTCAAAAAAATTAAATTCTCTATAATTATAAATTTTATATTATAAAATGTATTTAGGAAAAATTATCAATAAACGGAATTATTTAAAAATAAAATAGTAAGGCAATTCATTGTATTAACTACTAAAAAGTTTTTACCAAAAAAAAAAAAAAAAAAAAAAAAAAAAAAAAAAAAAAATGTTTAAAATACGGTTTTTAAATAACTTTTAAAAATTAATTTTATAAAATTAAGAACTAATAATAAATAAAAATATAAATTTTTNNNNTAGGAAAAATTATCAATAAACGGAATTATTTAAAAATAAAATAGTAAGGCAATTCATTGTATTAACTACTAAAAAGTTTTTACCAAAAAAAAAAAAAAAAAAAAAAAAAAAAAATGTTTAAAATACGGTTTTTAAATAACTTTTAAAAATTAATTTTATAAAATTAAGAACTAATAATAAATAAAAATATAAATTTTTATTCTAAAATATTTAATCAAAATTTATTAAATAAATAGTATATTTAACTTCTTTTGATTATCCATGTATTTTGAATTGGCATTCATATTCTAATTCATTCTAACATAAAAAAAAAATAATACAAATAAAAATGTCAATATAAAATACAAAAAAAAAAAAAAAAAAATATCCTATAAAATTCCATTTGGATTTTAGTCACATAAAGTAACATATATATTATAAATATAAGAAAAGAATTAGTCTATTTGCATGAGCTAATATATATATATATATATATATATATATATATATATATATATATTTATTCTCTTTACATAAATTTGCATACATGCTGAATACTTTTTAAAAAAAATATATGAAGAAAAAGAAAAGATAATTAAAAATTTTTATTAAAAAAAAGGAAATAAAATAAAAAATATTTTTAAATGATATAAATTTTTTGTAGTAATTTTAAATATTAGAAAAAAATGTTTTGTATTTAAAAATTTAGTTAACGGAATCTAGTGAATACATAAATTTATTAGAATATAGAGAAAAAATTTTTTTTTTTTTTTTTTTTCACTAAGTAGAAAATAAAGTTTTATTTAAAGAAAAGTATAAAGATATTTGAATATTTATACAATTTTATTTGTCCTTTCTGTATAATTGATAAAAAAAAATTTCAATTCCTTTGAATTTTTAGTGTTTCTAAAATATATATGAATGCAAAAAGTATTATATAAACTTGTAAAAATATTATATTTTCTGCATAAAATATAAATAATTTTAAATATAAATGTATAAAAAAAAAAAAAAAAAAAAAATTTTTTTATCATTTATACGTGGGAAATAAAAAGACCTTTTTAAATAAATAAAACAAAGGAAAAGTTTATCTTTTTTTTTTTTTTTTTTTTTTTTTTTTATTTTTTTTTTTTTTTTATTTTTATTCCATAAAAATTTTAAAAAAAAAAAAAAAAAAAAAAAAAAATTATTTAAGAACATTCAATATGTACACATTTTCTGCCCCTCCTGCGGCTGTCAATAAATTATATCTTAAATAATTTAAGTCATCAACTACGCTTTTTTTTTTACCTATAAAAAAAAAAAAAAAAAAAAAAAAAAATTACATACACACAATTATATATATAAAACATAAATATATATATAATTGTTTTTTGAATTTATAACCTGGTAAAGATTGAATAACTTTATATTTTTTTGTTCCTTCTGCATAATAGGAAGTATTATTAGCTGTGACTGATTTTTTTTCACATAAGCATGTATTAATTTTTTCTCCTTCTTCTTTTGTATTTTTATCAATTAATTCTTCTAATTTAATTAACTTTTGAAAAATTTTATTTGATACATTAGTATTGTAAGTTTTTAATATATCTAAAAAAGACAATAGCTTTGAAATAACAAGACCTTCTATTTTATTTTTACTTTTAATAAATTTATTTAAACAGTGAAAATAAAAATAATGATCACGATAAAACATTTCTACATTCAGATTTTGAATTGATTGAGGTAAAGATTTCAAAAATTTAATATTATCTTGAAGAAAATTTTTATTATGTGTGTCAATAATATTACTTTGATTAACTTGCAGATTTTTTTTAGTATGGGATTTTTTTGGTATATATATAAACTTCCTTTTAATAAAATTTTGTATATCATTTTCACTTGAATTTTTATTATTATTGTCACTATTATTTACATACTCTGTGAAAATTTTATCAATTAAATTGTCATTGATATATTTACATTCTTGTTCAAAATCAATGTAAGAATTTTTATCATATTTTTCTTTCAATGCCTTTAAATATCCATCACATTTATTTTCATATTTATCCATAAAGTTTTTATTTTTGATACATCCAACCAAATCAATATAGCAGACATCTACTTCATTCTTTATAATTTTGTTATATTTTTCTATTATATATTCTTGAAAGGAATAAAGGTCTAAATTCTTAATATTATCTTTCATAGTTTGCCAAAAGTCTTTTGATTTAATTAAATCTCCTACATTATCATAATTATCTACAACTTGTTTTACATTTTCTAAATAGTAGGATTTATCATTTTTTTTATTTTTAATTTCTTCTCTATTTTTATTTTGGTTACTTTTTGTTGTTTTTGTTTCAACATCTGGTAATACAATTATAATTATATTCTGACCCAAAAAATATCCTCTTTTGCTAATTTCCCATACCCCCTTTTCTTCTGAATATTTAAGATATTTACTAGCATCAGATATTAAAATTTTTCTTCCCATTTTTTTATTCTTTAAAATAAAATTTTTATAAATTCCATTAGAATAAGTAACATTTTTTTCACATTCATTATTATAATCAATAAAATTTTGTATTTTTTCTAAATATTTTTTGTTTTTTTCACTTTTTACAACTATATCATAATGATATATAACAACCGTACAACTCTGTAGACAAATGAGTTCATCAAGATCGACGTAATTATTTATAGTGTATATATGTTTATCTTTATATGCTTTTTTCAAAATTTTATTTTTATTTTTAAAACATAAGGGTATATTATTCATAGGTATTGGCTTAGATAACTGTAAATTAGTAACATTGTTATAAAATAAAAAGGAATTTGTTAATGGTATTACTATTTTTTTTATTTCACAATTTTTTAATACTCTTGCATCCAAATCTAAATAATCTAATAAAGCCAATAAATGAAGAATAAAAGAACTATGTGAAACTAAAACAATGTTATATACATTTTTTTTATCTTTTTTTTTATTCTGTTGTTTGTTTTTATTTTCCTTTAATTCATCTCCATCACCATCTTTTTTATTTAAACAAGTATTTTCTTCAATAGATGGACTTTTTGATTTCCCATATTTTTCTAAATAGTCGTTTGGTCCATTTTCATTTTGATAATCAGACGTTTTGTTAATTTTGTTATCTACATTTACTCCGTTCATATAATTTTCATTATGTGAATTACTAGTATTATTATTTCCGTTTTTATCATTCCTATCCTTTTCTTCATACTGTTTTTCAATACTAGAAAAATAGTTAATAGATAATGAATGAATAAATTTTAAAAACTGTAAACACCTACAATATACTTGTTCTGATGATTCTCTGAATTTACTACCAGGTATAGTATCATTCTCTCCATAACATAATAATTCATAATCATCAAAATTTTTATCGCAATATTTTTTTATATCTGATGTTTTAGATCTTTCATCGCTAAAATAATTTCCTGCAGTTTCACGAACAGATTCATGTATAATAATATTTCTTTTAAAATTAAGAAAATGCTTTATTGTTTCTAAACACCTTCTAAGTGGTGAACTAATAATGATAAAATTTTGATTTTTTTCAAAAGCACCTTTATCTTTTTTACTATAATTTATGTTGCTTTTCTGAGTTGAATCATTATATAATTGTATAACCTTTTTATAAAGTTTATTTTCATCATATTTCAAATCAGAACATATTTTCATCCCTTCTTCACTTGGACCACAATCTAAAAATTTTATATCCTTATATATCAAATCTCTAGCTATATTAGGATTTTTAAGAACTTCTCTATTATGCTGTGCTTCTATATGTCTAACTAAATAAATTTTTATAACGTAATTTTTTTTCAGTATTCTTTGCATGTATTTTCTATTTTTTTTTAAATAGAAAGATGTTTTGTAGTATAAATCACCAATTAAGTCGTTATATTTCATATTCTTTTCAGGAATGTTTTTTTTTTTAAATATATAGTCATAATTAATATTAGAATTATCGTTAGATGTAGCTGTTTTTGTATTCTGATATTTTGCATATACTTTATTAAAATAATTTGGCTTTAAATAATTTAAATTATTTGCATTTTCTTTATTATAATAATTATATTCGCCATAACTGTGAGAAGGAATATTCTTTTTTTTTGATTTAAATTTGTTATCTACATCCAAATAACCTTTTTTCTTTTCAATTACGGAGCTTTTATATAAAAATCCATTTTTTGATATACTTCTATATCTATTTGTAGAGATATTTTTAATATTTGTTCTTTTTCCTTTTAATAAAAAAGAGTTAAAATTAGGCTTATAATGATAATTTTTCTCATACAAATTACTTTTCATTTTATTGTAATCATTTTTTTTTTATTAAAAAATTCAAATTATTATCACTTTATATTGTTTACAAAAAAATAAAGTTTATGTATTTCAGTTTTTTTTCTATTATATTTTTTTTTATAATATCTTTAAATTAATTAATATTCTTCTTTTTTTTTTTTTTTTTTTTCCAAGGCTTAATTTTGTTTAAATTTATTAAACAAATGAAGAAAAAATGTAAAAAAAAAAATTTTTTTTTTTTTTTTAATGATATTAAGAACTAAAAAAAAAGTAGAAATAAAAAAAAATAATTTTAGTTAAATAAATGTGTATGTTATTAATTAAATAAGTAAATAATATTATATTAATGTGTGAATCAAGATTATATACATGTTAATATATAGTAAAAATATTATATATAATAAAATATAATAAAAAAAATTTTATTATAAATACTCTGAATGTTTTTCTTTCTATTTCTTTCTATTTCTTTCTACTTCTTTCTTTTTTTACTTCTTTTTTTTTCTTTCTTTTTCTTTTTTAATTTTTTCTATTGCTGCTTTTTCTTTTATTTTTATATAAAGTTAAATTGTGAAGGTGAAAATATGAAAAAATTTTATCAAATATATTAATAAAATGATAATTTTAAAGAATTATAAAAAAAAATATGTATCTTTATAAAAATATAGTAAAAATAAAAAATGTAATAACATTATGGTTTAAAAAAAATAAATAAAAATTTAAAGGATAGAATATAGTACGTATATTAAAAAAATTAAGCATATGTACTCTTATAAAAAAAAAAAAAAAAAAAAAAAAGATCAAAAACCAAAAAATCGTATCAATAGCTTGAACTTAAAAATATTTGCAAATTTGTGCAAATATTAAAATAAGGAAATGCAGTAAAATAGCAAAATTAAATATATGTGCTTAATAAAAATAACGGAATAATACACATATAAATTATTATATATAAAAAAGAATATATATATTTTTATTTTAATACCTAATAATATTTTTTTTATTTTTCTATATTCATTTCAGTGCACTGATGTACCAAAAAAAAAAAAAAAAAAAAAAAAAATTTTTCTTTTTTTTTTTTCGAAAGAAAATACCACATATGGCTTTAACGAATAAAACTCAAAAACTTAAGACATTTATGTAGAATAAAAATATAAAATAAGAAAAATTTATTTAAATTTTTTAAAACCATATATTTATATATTTTTCTACAAGTAAAAATATGTGTAAATTTTTTATATAAAAAACAATAAAACAAAAATAATGTTACTTAAAGTTAAGTTTACAATTTTTTTTTTTTTTCTATTTGTGTATTCATTGCACAAAATTAAATATACATTAAAAATAAAAAAAAAAAAAGGTATACAAGTTAAAAAACAATCTAAATTTTTTATAAATAAAGGAAATAAAAAAAAAAAATAAAATAAAATAAAAATAATAAAATTATATTAAAAAATTCATAATTTTTTTTTTTTTTTATTCTGCATTTTTTTCCAATAAATTAAAAGCAAATTTTTTAAGGAAAATTTTATACTGTTTTTATAAGAAAAATTTCTACAAAAAAGTTATATATATATATATTAAAAAAAGTAACGTGTATAATATTTATATTTTAATTTTTTTTTTTTTTTTTTTTAGTATTATTTATTTTGTTCTCTTTTTCAAAATTTTCTCATTTAAGCCAACTTTTTTTGTATCATTTAATGGCATAATATATTCAATATATTCATCATTGGAAAAATCATTATTAAAATGTAAAGTATTAATTATATTTTTATAATAACATTTATAATTACATGTATTTTCTTCTAAATATTCTAAAATATCAATAAAATTATTCTCTTCATTTTTCAAATATTTATTCTTAATACATTTTTTAAAATTTTTTTTTTCATTTTTTTCACAAGACAAAAAAAGTTCTTTCCCATTTATTTTTTTTTTTAATTTTAAATTATCATTTTCATCTTTTTTTTCTTCAATATGTTTAATAGAAATTTTTGGAGGTTTGTATGACTTATTTATTATTCTATAGTTTTTGTCCAGTTGGTTATTTTCATTATTATTATTATCCTTACTCTTATCAATTTCGTTATTATTTTCATCAACTTCACAACATTCACTCGTTTTGTCTTTCAGTTCATCTATTTTACTATTTTCTTTATGATCTTTGTTATTTGTTTCTTTTAATTTAAAATTATATTTATCTATTTTTATATTACTCTCATCCACTTTTACATTAACTTCATCTATTTTCTTATGATTTTCATTTAATTTTTTTTTTTTCTTGCTAATCATTGTATTCATTATAATATTTTCTGTGTTTGATTTACTTTTATTTTTTGTATAATTTAATTTATAGATTTTTTTTTTATTATTACATTTATATTTTATCTTTCTTTGCATTTTTAATTCTATATCATTTCTTTTTTTTGATATGTTTTCCTTGCTATTTTCATCTTTCATATTAATTTTGTTGTGATTTATATTTTTTTCATATGATTTCATAAGTGGTGTTATATTTTTATAAGTATATTTTTCTTTCTTCGATTTGTTATTATTTGCATTGTATTCTTTATAATCATCTGCTAAACTTCCTTCTTCGTTTTTAATTTTATTTTTTTCCTCTTCATTAATTATTCTATATTTATTTGTTATATTATCACTATTTTGAAGATTAAAATTTGCACAATTATTTGATTTAATGCAACTATTTTTATTTAGAATTTCCTTTTTTTTTTCGTTAGATAAGCACGACATTTCACATTTTTGATTATTTTTCTCATTACCTAAAGAATTTTTTTTTCTTTTTTTATATTTTATATTTTTATCCATGAGAACATCGTTACTAGAATTTGTAGAATTTTTGCATTCATTATCACTTATACTATTACTCTTATTATAATCATAATTAGAACCTTTTCTTTTATTTTTTATTTTTTTTTCTTTATTAGATAAAAAATTTTCTTGTATTTTATTATTACCATTGAATTTTAAATCATTATTATATTTTTCATAACAATTTACCAATATACTATCTACTTTATCTTCCTTTTTTTCTGAATTTATATTGATAATCGATATCTTCATATTATTATTTTCATGAAAATTTCTTTTCCTTTTCTTATCATTTTTAATAGAATTTTCTGTCTTTTTAATATTTCCATTTAAATCTTTTACTTTTTTTTTATTCCATTCCTTTATATTTCCTTCATCATTCTTTTTCATATTTTCCTTTAATGTTAGTTTATTTTTATCAAAATCATTTAAATTTATTTTCTTTTTTTCGTTATATTCATTTAAATTTATTTCATCTTCTTTATCATTTTCATCGCAATATAATCCCTTTTTTTTATCGCATTCATTTAAAATAATATGTTTTTCTTCATTTTTCTTTTTTTCTAATAAAGAATTGTCACTATTGATTTTTTCATTTTTTATAATTTTTTTTTCCTCAAATAATATATTAGTAAAATTTTTTTTAATATCTTCTTTATGATAATTTTCTTGGTTTTCACTTTTTGTTTTTTCAATGGAAATATTTTTTAAATTGGTTTCCTCTTCTTTTATATAATAACAACTTTTGTTATTTTTTAGAATTGTTTTATTTTTTTTTTCATAGTTATGGAACGTAAAAAGAGGTTCATCCTTTTTTTTTCTTTTTTCGTATATAAATAAGTTTTTAAGTTCTTCTATTATTTTTTTTTTTTTTTCTAAAATGTCAGAATAAAATCTGTCATGTTTTAATATACTTAAATTTAATTCTTTTTTTTTATTTATATTTTTTTTCATTTTAAAATCTGAACTTAAGTTTACCTTCTCTGTATTTGTAATTACATTTGAAATATAATTTTCGTTTATATAATTTTTTTTTTTACTTGAATTTTTTTTCATTTTTTCTAATTTGTTAATATCTTTAAATTTTTCCTCTTTAACATTATTTACTACATTTTTTTTGTGAAAATTTTCCAAGTATTTATTTAAGTTACATCCTTCTAAATTTTCATTTATATTAGCATGAAAGTTATTAAAAATATTAATTTTTTGAAAAAATTTCTTTTTAATAAGTTTATAATAATTTAAAACAAAATAATAAAAGTTATAAACAACTGAATCACAATTTTTTAAAATATTGGAATAATTACAATTCATTATTTTAAATATCATATTTTTGGGATATAATATAGAAAATATTAATGAATAAAGAAATAATTTAAATATCTCAACTTTTTCTAAAAGAATATTATGAATAGTATTCTTTTTTAATTCTTTATAGTACTTATCGTTCATGAATTTTATAAATAAAGAATTTCTATTCATTAAGTTTTGTAAAAACTTAAAAATCATTATAATTTTATATTCTTTGTTTTTTATTTTTATAATTTTAAAAATTTTATTTTCTTCTGATTTCAAATATTTTCTTCTAAAATTCATACTTATTTCATTAGTAAATTCTTTTGAAATATTTTTATCTTCTACAAATTTTTGATAGTTAAATGTATCAGGTGAAATTTTCTGTTTATAATTTGATAAATACATTTTATCATTATCATAATTTTTAATGATATCTTCTCCTTTTTTACTTGAATATAATTTTTCCTTTAATAATTTATTATCATATTTCTTTCCATTTATATTCAGTGAATTTAACAAAAATTTTGAGTTTAATATATAATTAAGAAAAATGTTATTTTTATAAAATTTATTTTTTATATATTCTATTAAAGGATTATTTAATTTTAATAAAACTTTTAAAAGTATGAATAAATTTAACTTAATTTTTAAATTCTTAGTATTTGAACAATGTGAATTACAATAAATATGATAAGTATTTTCAGCATTAAATTCTATTGAAAATTTATGAAATTGCTTTTTTTTATTTATACAATTAATATGAAAAGCTCTGTAACATTTTTCAAAAGAGCATTTTATTAATGAGTAACTTTTTTTTTTACATATATTACAAATAAATTCTTTTTTATTATTCCTTTTTATAGATGTATTATAGTAGTATCTCTCTCCTTTTTTAACATAACATTTATTATAAAAAATTAAATATCTCAAAATTGTATCTTTAAACAAAAATTTATTTTTTAATAAAATTTTTGGTGTGAAAATTATTACAGAAAAATTTTTAAAAAAAGAAATTGAAACATAATTTTTTCTATATGCATTCTTTTCTTCAAATAATTTATTTTTAAAATATTCTTTTTCTTCATCTTCCACTAAATTTTTGTTTGAAATGCAGTTATAATGCATTTTGTCATTTTCGTTAAGTTTTTTCTTATCATATAAATGCTTCATATTCAAGTTCATATGTACAACTAGTGCGTCATCACAGTAAGATATATAATTTTTATCAATAAGATGAAAAAGAAAATTTTTTTCTAATATAAAATAACTACATTTTTCGCATCCTATTAACATTTTAAAATTAATTAACTTAAGCATTTCCTTTTTTCTATCATTAATATGACAATAATTAAAAAAATATACTTTTTTACTTTTTTTTATTTTGTTTTTTCTTTGGAAAAACTGATAATTAAAATATAATAAATTTAATATATTATTTTTTTGTTCAGAAGGGTAATACTCATTTCTCAAATTTTTGCAGGCTGAACATATAACCATTTTATAATCATTGGCATTTTTATTTATAAAATATAAAGAAAAAATATTACTTCTTAAATTTTTATGATGTGAATCAATACTATAACTTTTTATGAAATTACTCATATTTTCTTCTAAATAAGATGTATTTCCCTTTTTATGAACAATAACGTTTTTTACTAACTCTATTTTTTTTCTGTTTTTATTATAACTTAAGGAATTATTAGGATGTGAATTTTTTATTTTTTCATTTTCGTTTTCTAACTTCATTAACATACATTTACTTTTCTTATTTTCTTTCTTTGATTTAATTATACTAAAGTTTTCTCTACTTTTTATGTCATCAATTTCGTATTTATTATGTTTGTTTTTCATCAATTTTTTATAGGAACTATAAATGTCATTAATGTTAATTTTTAATTTTAATTTATAATTATCTTTTTTCATATTATTTTTAACTAATTCATAATTTTCATGGGCTTCTTGTATACTCTCTTTATTAATTTCCATATGTTTAAAAGAGGGATTATTATATAATGATAAATTTTCTAATTTACTTTTATTTTCTATAAAGTTCAAAGAATTTGTTGTATAATTTTTATTTGAGGTATTAATAATATTCCTTTTATCTTGAAAATTTAAAGCATTATTGCCTGTTTTTAAATAATCTGTTACTTTAATATTAACATCTGTTTTATTTGTATCATATTTTTTTGTATCTTTCTCTTTCAGTTTTTCTAATTCATTAAAATTAATATTCATTTTACTATCTGTTATATGTTCCTTAAATGTTTTCGAATTCGTATTAGTATTATCTGATAAGTTGTTAGATGTATTTTTATTATTATTTAATAAATCATAATTTATTAATTTACTTTCTATTTCATGCATGGGTGACTTTTGTTCATAACATTTATAATTATATGATTTATCACATATATTAATAATACTTCTATTATCATTGCAATTTTTGATCATTGCATTTTCTGTTATAGATATTTCTGATTTACTTACATTATTTGTTACCTCTATACACTTAACTTCATCTGATTTGTTAAAAGAATTCATACACTTGATATTTATATTTTTTAAATTAGGTAAATTTATTCCTTCTCCTAAATATTTTTCATAATTTTTTTCATAATTTTTTTCTTCATAGAGCATATCACTTTTCACTTGTTTTTTACTATTTTCTATAACTTTAATCATTTCAATATGATTATTTTCTTTTTTTTCAGAAAACATTTTAGGAATTTCTTCAATTTTATTTATTTTATCGTTTCTGTTGTGATAATTTATATATTTTTGGTTTTTATCTTTATCGTTTTCAATAATTTGATCTATTTTATTTTTCTTATGTTCTTCATTATTTCCACATTTCTCTGTAATTTTTTTATAATTTTCTTGATTATATATATGTTCATTTTTCGAAACAATTAAGTTATTATTTGTTTCATTATTTTTATTTCTATTATCTATGTCTATTATTAAATTATTTTTATTACATTCCTCTGTTTTTAAAATAGTATTATCAAACTTTGTAGGAGACTTACTATTATCATTTTGTTTATTGTACAAACATTTTGTCTTATTAAGACTATTAATATTAATATCTTTTTTTTTTAATGTTTTTTCATTATAACTAAAAAGAGGAATACATTCACTGTTCATGTAATATTTATTTCTTTTTTTTTTAACTTCACTTCTATTTTCATATACACCAAGAGGTATATGATCATTACAATATGTTGTTACTTTAAAAAGTGAAAAACAATTATCATAAAAAAATGTTGTGATGAACTTATCATCATATATTTTAACTTTCATATGGTACCCTTCTAAATATGCACAAAGAGGATGGAAATATTTATTACATTTGTTATTTTTTATATATGAATTTTTAATAGTATTATTTAGATTATTTATATCAAAATGTTCGTGATAACAACAATTGATAACAAAACCGCTTTGGTTACATATACAGCATATATTTTCAAAAGATCTCAAGTTATTAATATTCCAATAATTTAAATTATAAATATTTAAACAAAAAACATGTGAAATAAAAAATAAAACACAAAAAATATGAACAAATGATTTTGATGTTGTTTTTTTTAAAGCACCCCCATATTTTTTACATATAAAACAATTAAAATTTTCAAAAGATTTATTATCATCTACATATTTATTATCACAAAAATTATTACTATTGTCATATAGATTCTTATCATTTTCATTTAAATTATTGATATATTCATCTATATTTTTATTAGTGTTACTATTATTATTGCCATTAAATTTTTTTTTTTTTTTAATGATTCCTATGTTTTTATTTAAATCTTCATTTTGTACATTTTTTTTAAAGGATTTACTAATTACACATTTATCACATAAAAAATCATCATTCTTATTTTTTTGATATATACCGTAACAATATTTATGAATATAAATAGAGCAACTTATACATTTAAATAATATATTTATGTTGTTAGTTTCTGTGTTAAAACAAACACTGCATATAGCATTATTCATTGTTTCATTCTTATTTATAATTATATTATTAGGTATTTCTTTTGTTTCATTTTCGTTCTTTTTATTAAAATAATTATTATTATCAGTTGTAGTACTAGTATTATTGGTATATGTAGAAGTATTAGCTTTTACGCTAATATTATTAGTAGTAGTAATAAGTGTGCTAATATTACTGATAGTTATATCATTATTCTTATCATTTTCATCATTTTCATCATTATAAACATAATTATTTGTATTACTTACTAAATTATGTCGTTTATTTTCTTCATTTATTTGTTTAACATATTTATTATCATTGTTAAATACAAAATTTAATTTCGTTTTTTCATTTCTTATAGTATTATTTTCATTTGAAGATTCTAACAAAATCTCAGAATTCTCTCTATCATTAATACTTTTATTATTTTTATTTTTTAAATTAAAAAAATATGCTTCTTCTTTTAAAAAACTATCCTCCAAATTATGAATTAAGTTATTCCAGTTATTAACGCAAGAATATTTATAAAAGACAAAATTTACGTAAATTGGCATATCTGATAAATTATATATGTGGTTTTCTTCAATTATTTTACTTATTAAAATTATTTTATTTTTTATAATTTCTTCATTTAGATTATCATATAAATTTTTTATTTTTTCATAACTATTATCAATAATCATATTGAAATTTTCATTACAAATGTTCTCATTAAAATAATCATAAAATTTTGTTTTTTCTTCTTTTTTTAAATTACTTTTCAAATTATTCAAAAATTTATTGCTTATATTATTTTTTACATCATTATATGCTTCATTGGAATCCTCTTCTTTAATGAAATTAAAATTAAATTTATTATTATTTTTTATTAAAATATCTAATGTATCATTAGTTTTATAACAATTTAGTGAAAAATTTAGATCATCTTTGTTATTCATTAAACTAGTTTTTTCATTATTTATGACATCCCATTTATCTGCGTTTATATTTTTTTCATCTAACATATTAAAAGAATTTAATAACTTAATGTTTTTGTTTTCTTCATTCATAATTTCATCATTATCATTTATTTCTTCATTTTTATTTATATAACTATTTGCTTCTAACTCTTCAACATTATGTTTATTTATTTTTTTCATAAAATTATTTCTATTATTTTCAAAGCATAAAATGTTCTTAATATCAAAAAAATTATAATCTATTTCTTCATAATTTTTGTTATTTATATTCATATTAAAAAACTCAATTTGCTTATTTTTAACAAACGAATTTTTAAAATTTAAAAGAATATTCTTATTTAAAAAAATATCATTTAAATATTTTTTTTTATCTTCATTATTGTTAAAATAACCTAACTCATTATTATCTAACAAAAATAACTTATATATATCAAAGTTACTAAAAGAATTAGTTGATAGTAGTTTATTTTTATCAACATTGCCTTTATTTTCTGATTCTTCATTAATTATACTAAAATTGTTATATTTCTTAATAACATCGCTTAAATACTCTTTTATATCATTATCATAAGTTTTGTTATTTATATATTCATTTATAATAAAATTAATACTATTATTAATATTATTATTTATATTTACACTATTTAATTGAGATGATGTTCTATTAATAATTTGAAAGTACTTTTTATTTCCTTTTTTATGTTTGTTTTTCTTTTTATATATATTTTTTGATATTTTTTTATGTAAAATTTTATTTTTATAACTTATATTTAAATTCATATTATTATGAATATTACTATAACTTTTATTTATTCGCATATTCTTATTTGTATCTACATCTATATTTATATTTTTAGCATTTTCAAAAATATCTACATTAATATTGTTTTCATCAAAGTTATTTAAATTAGGTACTATTTGGTTCAATGAAATATTTACTTTGTTATCTTTTAAATTCTTATTTTTATCTATTATGTCACTATTATTTGAAATAATGCTTTTTCTATTTAAAATATTATTATTTTCTTTATCTCTGTCATTTATGATTTGATTTAATTGGTACGATAATAAATTATAATGATTTTTTAATTTTCCACTTTCATCATTTTTAATTTCATTACCTTCATTTTCACTATTCTTTATTTCATATAAATTATTACAGTTATCATATATTTTAACACCTTTTTTTGAATAAAAAAATTTATGTGTTTTTATAAATAAGTAGTCATAATAAGTTAACTCAAATATATTTACTAGCTTTATACTTGTATTTTTTGAGATACCAAATAAATTAAAATTCTTCAAAATATTTTGTAATATGTTTTTATTTAATACAGTTCCATCAATTTTTAAATAATTTAATTTTTCATTATTATTATTATAATTATTATTATTGATATTATTTAAAAAAATTTCCTCCAAAATAGCACTTATACTTCCATATGAGTTCTTTAGATATAAATTATTATATAGCTCATTGAAAAAATAATCAATGTTATTAAATTCATTTTTTTTTAATTGCTTATTTTTTGAACATTTTTTTCTATTATCTTTCTCTGATTCATATATTAAAAGATATATATTATTCCCATTATCGAATAACGTAAAAATTATATTATAACTTTTATTATGTGAAAGTGTTTCTTTGCACAATTCATCATTTCTTATCTTTATATTTTTGTTATCAATATCTTCATTTTTATCATATTCATAAATATTATATGTATCGTTAAAAATGTTATAATTATTATCTCTTTTCTTACATACTTTTAATTTTTTACTCAAATTAACATCATTAGGTGTACGTGGAGTTTGATCACACTCATATTTAATTTGATTATGAATATTGTTTTCATTATTTTCCAATTTATCACAATTTATAAAATTTCTATTATTTAATATATCAGTATCCGCTTTTATCGATTTCTTATCTTTAACGACAATATCAGTTTCGTTAGATGGATTGTCATGAATTTTTTTATTAGGGAAAAATAAATTCTCTAAGTTACCCAAATTCATATCAATGTTTTCATTTAAATATGTATTATCATTTTTAATTTTTTTCACCGAATAAAAAATTTCATCGGAATACATCTTTTCCTTATGTAAATCTATTTCCTTATTACAGCTTGTAAATGTGTTGTTATTTTCCGAATTAATTTTAAAATTATATAAATTATTCATTTCATTTTCATTATTATCTAATAATTTTATATTATTATGATTAATTTTACTTTTTTCTTCTTTATCATTTAGTGTTTTATTTGATAAAATAACGCTTTTTTTAAACATTTTATGATTGGAATAGCTTTTTAATAATTCAATAACCGATAAGATATTACTTGAAGTATCAAATTCACATCTGTGTTGAAAAAAATTTTTAATATGATAAATGCTTTTTAAATTATCTGCATCATTCACATATTTTTGTCCAAAAATAAATAAAGGTAGTCTATAAAATAAATAGGAATATTTGTTTATATTAACCTTTTTTTTCAAATCTGTATTATTATTTTTTTGTTTACTTCCTTTTTGAATGTCAACATTTATTTTTCTCATAATATTTATTTCACCTAGGTTTTTTTTTCTCTTTTTTTTCTTTTTTTTTTTATTTTGAATTTTTAACTGTTTCTTAAAGCGCCCATTGAATTTTTGAAAAATATTTAATCCATTTTGTTGCCTCAAATAATATATACCTTCACATATATTGTTTTTAATAATTGAGCTTGTTTCAACATTTTCAATAATTTTATCAATATACTTTATGAATGATTGTAAATTTTTTTTATTACTTTCATTTATATATATATCCTCTACATTTTCAGGTTTCTCATTGCCATTTTTACCTATTTCATCATATTTATTTATTTTAATTTTTTCATTTTCATTTTCATTTTCATTTTCTTTTTCTTCTTTTTCTTTTTCATTTTCTTTTTCTTTTTTTTCATTTTCATTTTCTTTTTCTTTTTCTTTTTTTTCATTTTCATTTTCTTTTTCTTTTTCCTTTTTTTCTTTTTCATAATTCTCTTCATTTTTTATTATTGTGTCTTTTATTATATTCTGATTTTTTTTCTTTTTTATTTTTTTGTTTAATCTATTATCTCCTTTAAAATTTTCATTCACGATATTACTATATGTATCTTCCTTTTTAATATTAAAATCTTTCTCCAATAATTTTATATCATTTATATTTTTGTTTTCCTCTTTTTTATATATTTTTTTTCTTTTATTAGTATTAATTTCCAATTTTTCTAATTTTTGATTACTATATGATACATCATCATTAATTACATTTTTTTCATGTTCACTTTTTATACTATTCAACTTCTGGTGATTTTTTATATTGAATTCATTTTTTACATTTTTTTTTTTTTTTAAAAAATTACTACTTTGCTCATCGTTCTTCATTTTATCTGAACTGTATGAATATAAATTATTTAATTTTTTTTTTTTTCTTTTTTTACAAAACTTATCTATTTGAATACCATTCATAAGATTCGTTTCATTAATATTTTTGTTATCATTCACTATGTTGGTGTTACTGTTTTTTTTCTTATCATATTTAATGTTATATTTTCTTTTATTAATGTAACCTTGTTTTTTTTTTTCACCTTCTATGTAATAATTATTTTCTTCAACATTATCATAATCTTTTTTTTTCTCTTCTTCTTGTTCTTTTATGTGTTGTTGATTTTTTAAATCATTTATTTTTTCTTCTTCTGCTTCCTCTTCTTTCATTATATGAATATATTTATTTGAAAAAAAAAGCGAATGCAAAAAGGAATTGTAATAATAATAGAATATATTATTTAAGTTATTATATTTTTTATTATCTAAAGCATTCATTTTTAAACTCATAACAGTTCTTATATCAGTTTCATTGTTATGTAATGGGCACATGGTTAATTTAATTGTGTTTATATATACATTATTATTATTTACATTTTCTAAATTGCATGTTAATAATCCATTTGAGAAAAAATTATTATTTTCCTCATAATTCATATTCTTTATTTCATTTTGTTCATAAGTTTTTGTTTTTTTCAAATTATTGTATCTATTATTTAAGCTACTTAATTGTAGTTTTGTTTTATAATATGGAAAACTCTCTTCACATGAAGATATATCTGAATATTGAGAGTTATATGATGAACTGTTAAGGTCAGAATATGTGTAAGATACAAAAGATGAAGAAGTTGGATAGGAAGAAGATGTATAGGAATAAGAGTTTGAATGATAAGATGAAGAATCAAACGATGAAGATGAAGATGACGACGAAGGAACTGTTGATGAATGAAGAGATGAATAAGATGATTTTGAAGAAAAAGAAAAAGATTTAACAGATGATTTATTAGTTAGAATTGATGATGAAAAATACTTTGTAGAAATAGATGATGAACATAATGACGATGCAGAAGATGATTTTTCATTAACTTTATTTAAATTTGATAGATAAATATTTTTTTCATTAGAATTTGGGAAAGAAAAATCAGTTGATGATAGATTGTCTTCATTCATTATTTTGTTACAATCATTGAATGAATCATAGTTTTTGTTTTTATTATTATATTTCGTTTCATCACTTAATTTCCTTTTATACGTATTTTTTTTTTCCCATTGAAATAATGTTTTTTCACTATTTTTATTAAAATCGTTTTCAAGTGTAACCTCTTTTTCAAACTCTGTATTATATTTAATGTTGTCCATTTTTTCTATAATATTATATTTATAATCATATAATAAATCCAATTTTTTTTTATGCAATTTATTTGAATATAAAAAATGATTTTTTTCTTTTTTTTTATCTATATCAACATTATATTTATATTTCTTATTTAAATTTATATATATAGATTCTTTTTTTTCTTTATTTTCTTTCATGTATATGCAATTTTTATTATTGTAACATTCTTCCTTTTTAATTGTTAAAGTATTATAAGAATCATTTCCCCTTTTTAAATTTTCATTATTTTTGTCAGGTATGTTTTTGTGAGAAAAATAATGAAGGTAATTTAATTTTAGTTCATCTTTGTTTTCACTTTTTTTGTAATTATTCTGGCACCAAATATATTTTTTGTCTGAGTTATGTGATATATTATTATCATTAATATGATCCTTTTTTATTTTTTGAAGAAAATTACAAGCTTTGGAGTTATTTAATTTCTTTTGAATAGTATGGTTATTTATTTTTCTTAAATCTCTGGAATATAAATTATTATTAATAGTAATTAAGTTGTTATTTTTGTTTAAATCTTCATTTTTTATGTATTTTTTTTTATATCCCAATGATTCTTTATTAGAATTATTGAAAGAATATATATCTCTATTAATTTTGCTATTATAGTTATGTAAATGCTTTTTTTTCTTTATAATTTTATTACATTTTTGAAAAATGTTAATTTTGTTATTTTTTCTTCTAACTATATAAAAATTAGAATCTTTTAAGTTGTTTTTAATATATAACTTTTTTATTTTCTTACAATTTTCCAAAAATTTATTATAATAGCAATAAATATGAAAATATGTAGAACATGAAGGGAACATACATTTACTTTTTATTCCATTAGATTTTTTACAAAAAACACAAATTTGCTTACTATTATTTTTTATAACTTCTATAATTTTCTCTTTTATTTGTTTTAATATCTTTAAATTAATAAAATCTCTTTTATATATTAGCTGTTCTATTTCTTTGAATAGATTATTATAATCATTTTGCTTAGTTATACTTAAATTTATTTCGTTTTTAGTATGATTATTTGTAATATATAATATATCATTCATAAAATAATTTTCTTCACTTATTATATTATAATTATTTATGTCACTACAATATATAAAATTTTTTTCTTTATTGTTTTGTAAGTTATACTCACCTTCATTTGTTAAATTTCCTTTTTTTTTTTTATCTTCATTTATTTTTTCTTGCAGAAATTCTTTATTATTGTTACTATAATTGGATGTTATTCCTTTATTTATATTTGATATATCGTTATGTAAATAATTAAGATTACATGTAGTAATATTTTTTAAAACGTTATTATCATTCAAGCTACAACATACCTTATCATTTCCTTTATTATAATTAGTGTTATAATTCAATTCGTTATTTAAATTGTAATAATTTTGGTTTAATGTATTATTATTTAAAATAAAATTATAATATATTAAATTCTTAATTTGCTTTATTGTTAAATTATAATAATATGGATTCATCAAAAAATTAAAAGAATGATTATTAGTTATTATATTAAAATTATTTGACAATTCTGTTTTAATTTTTTTTATTATAATATCATTTACTGATTTTAAGTTATCATATAAATTTATAAAATAATCTTCGTTATAATGATTAAAAAAAAAATATTCAAAGTAAATGTGCAGCATTGAATTGTTTTTTGTAATATCATTATAATATAAGCAACACAAATGAAACCAAAGATTTTTTTGTTTCTTTTTCATAATTACATTTTTATTTGTCTTTTCACATATGCCACACTTAATTTCTTCTTTACAATCTTCTTTAAATGTTTTTATTTTTTTATGAATGTGATTAATGGAAGTGTTATTGTAATTATTCAATATTTTAGTATTATTAAATTTTTCATGTTTTTTTACTTTTACATCATTTTCGTAATAATATTGTGATAAGGTAAAATTTCTACGATTAGAAATAGTTTCCGATTGATATCCATTATTAAAGTTTTTAACACATTTTTTTCTAATTAGATATTTTAATTTTTTTCCTTTTTTATAAATCTTATAATTTAATTCATTATCACTCATATATTTATTAATTTTTTTTAAATAACTATATGTTTCTTTGTTTTTATTTATGTTTACTTCGTTAATTTTTTCTTTCCTATTATCATCATTTAAGTATGCAAAATGATATATATTATAATTATCATCTAAACATTTTCTATCATTTCTAGATTCTTTATAATTGTTAGATTCTAAACATACATCACAAATAAAATTATTTAAATTAAAACTATCACAAAATGTTTTATAACAGTATGCATGGAAATACAAAGAACAACTTTTACACTTTTCAAGGTATTCAGAATCGTTATTAATTAAACATATAGTGCATGTTTTATTTTTCTTATTACTAAAAAAATAATGTTCAATTTTTTTATATCCATTGTTTAAGAAAAGATGTTGTTTCTTTGTATTTTTTGTTTTCTGCTTTTTTTCTTTTTTTAACTTAGTTATTAATTTTTCTTCAAAATTTTCTAATTCTTTTTTATAAATATTTTCATTAAAGTATTTATCATTTATATTATAAAAATAATTACTTTTATTAGAAAACAACAAAGAAAAAAACAATTCTACATTTATATTTAGCGAGGAGTGCTCATCTTCATTATAAGAGTCATTCTGTGTTTCTTGATTTATGTTATTATGAAAAATGTATTCATTGCGAAATTCATCTTTGCTATAATATTTTAAAATATCTAGATAACTTTTTTTTGTTGTTTTAATGTCCATATCTTCATTATTTATTTTATTATGGGTTTTATTAAAAAAAAAATAAAATAAAATAAGAAAGAACAAATTAAAGAAAAAATGTTCTTTATGAAATTTATTATGAACAAAACATTTTTTTTTTTTTTTTTTTTTTTTTTTTTTTAACTTCTATCCATTTAATTCCTTTTAAATATTCATATTTTTAGCTATCATATTTTTAATTTTCATATATTTAAATCTCGTATTTTTACATTTCATATTTAAAATTTCTAGTTTGACATATATATACATAAATGAGAATAATTATAATTAAAAACACAATGGCATTTTGATAAAAAAGAGAAGCTTAAGATTTGCTATAAAGTTATTTTAATTTATTTTTTTTTTTTCATTTTATCATTAATCATAAATTATTAATACTATAAAAGAAAAAAAAAAAAACACTTAAAAAATTAAAATTTGGCATGACTTTTATATCTTTAATATTTTACTACGTTTTTAAAAATATTTAATAAACTATATAAACATGTACATGTAAAATGAAAAAAGTGACAGAAAAAAAAATAGCTCACTAGAACAGAGATAAGCTTTAAAAATTAAAGCGAAATAAATAGCTCTACAACCAAAGAGAATATTAAAATGTAAAACTAAATTTTATTGTTATTATTTAATTATTTTTTTTTTTTTTCTTAGTAAAAAATATAGATATATACTTATGTGTTAGTATTAATTAAATGAAATAGTAAAGTATTTTCACAAAATTTTAAAATATTATATATTAAGAATAAAATAATTTTATTTGATACTTCATAAAATATATAAAACCTAAATTTTTATATTAGAAATATGTATATATATATTTTTTCTACTTTTTTTATGTATGACACACTATAATGTAAAAATGTTACAAATCAATAATAAAAAAAAAATTATTTTAAAACATTATAACTCATATAAATATTATCATTTTAATATAAAATGAAAATAACTATGGATATATTTTTTATTTTTCTTTATTTTATAAAACTTACATTAATGAGAAAAATATAAAATTGTAGAACTCTATTATATCATGACATAATATGAAGTCCACATCTAAAATTTTTAATGAAGAAATATTTATGTAATGTTTGGAAGTGCAAAAAAATTTTTCATTTAAATAAAAATTTAAAAATTAATACTATTTTAATAATTTCATATCTGTTTTATAAAAAAAAAGAAACTAAAACATTCATTGTTAAATTAAATGAAATAGTGAAATATATTTATATTTTCTATATACTCTTATCTTTTCCTATATTATTATTTTCTTGTTATTGTACCCTTTTTTTTTTTTCTTTAATTTTTTTATTTATTTATAAATATTTCCTTTTTTCTTAATTAAAAATATCAAGAAATTCTTATATTAATATATTCTTAAAATGATAAAGCTATTATTTAAACAGAAGAAACAAAAATGTAAAAATATAAAAAAAAAAAAAAATATAAATAAAAAAGTTTATATTTAATTTCATTATAGTTAAAATAAAGTTAAATATTTGAAAAGTATTGAAAATAAATTTACCAAATATATAAAAAAAATTATTGTGATGAAAATCTAAATATATATATGCATAAATGGTTTACAACAATATAAAATTAATTGTATTAAAAAAATTATGATAATAGATGCAAGTGTAGCATACTATTATATATTATTAATGAAACAAAAAAACAAATTAAATATTAAGTTAAAAAAGAAGGTAAAATAATAAAAATAAAAATTTTAAAAATTTTATAAATTGGAAAATCTTGAAAAAGATAAGAAGAAAAAAATTTATTTTAATTTTTTTTTTTTTCTACAATTTTAATTTCATCATTTCCGAAAATTCATGAAAGTCAATCTAAAAAGGAAAAATTGATAGAAATAATTTTAAATAATTAATTTAGACATAAAAAATTTTATTTTGTCATTGTAAAGAAGAAAAAAAAAAGATATATTTAGTTTATATTTTAAAAGTATGGAATACTTTTGTACTTATGCAATTAAATTTTTTATTATTATATATAATTATTTTTATTACTTTTCCATCATTGTTTTTATCTACTTCTCTGATCATTTTTTTTACTCGATTGACGTCTTTTTGAGTTATATTCCCTTTTTTGTTTCCATTATAAAGTATCTAAGAAAAAAAAATATGCATATATATATATATATATATATATATATATATATATTTCACTTTAAAAAAGTTATTACATGAGCCAATTCTGCAGTAGTAATTTTTCCATCATTATCCACATCAAATACACGGAAAGCACAATATATTAATTTCTAAGAGAGAAAAAAAAAAAAAAAAAAAAAAGTAATGAATTATTACAAATAAAATTAATCTAAAATATACTAAAAATTGTGTAAAAATAAAATAAAAAGCAAAATTTATTAATGTGCGAATAAATAAATAATAAATTTAAATATTTTTATGAATATAGATATGTATTATGATAGCTTTTAAATGAAAAATTAAACAAAAATATTTTAATGTGATTTATTATTATTCATATTTTTACGAATAACTTTATTCACGTAATTAGTAATCGTATAAATTTCATACAATATATTTTTTTATATATTATAATTTATCTTTTTTTTTTTTTTTTTGTTTTTTTATTAAGAGTAAAATTTTACTTTTGATAACTGTTTTCTATCTAATGCAGCAGCCAGAAATTCTGTGTAATCTATTTTTCCACTACCATCACTGTCTATTTCATCAAGTAAAGTATCAAAATTGGAAGGCAATTTTAAACCACTATTTTCAAGACCTTTTTTTAATTGTTCTTTTGTTATATTACCTTTTCCTTCTTCATCTAAAACTAAAAATGCTGCTTTCAATTGTTGCAAATCATAATCGTTGCTTTGCTGTGCTATGATTGTCATTGCTAATTTTTGAAATTTTAATAATAATGCATAATTTTTAAAATTCTCCAATACATGTATATCTATTTTTGCTTCTAAATTATAAGCAGATTTTTTCTTTTTAAACCATGGATGTTTTAAAGCTTCACTTGCACTTATTCTTTTTTCTGAATCCATTGTTAGACAATGTTGAATTAAGTCTTTAGCTTCTTCTGAGATATTAGCCCATTCTTTACCTTTAAAATTATATTTTCCTTTTTTCACCTATCAAAATATTACGTATAGATGTATATGTATATTTATATATTATTTCCATTTATTATTATTATTTTTTATTTCTTTTGTGTATTTATGAAATAATTTTTTTTTTTTTTTTTTTTTTTTAAATAACCCTGCTTAATATTTCATTATCACTTTCTCCATAAAAAGGGGGATATCCACATAATAGTATATAAAATAATACTCCTGCTGACCATAAATCGCACTTGTAATCATAACTTCCAGACAATACTTGAGGTGCTACGTAGTAAGGAGTTCCTGCTTTAGTTTTCATCTCAGTATTACTGTCAGAAAAATAGGATGCTAAGCCAAAATCAATAATTTTAATAAGTGAATCGGGATTTTTATCATAAAACAAAAAATTTTCAGGCTTTAAATCTCTATGAGAAATATTTCTAATATGTAAGTAATTTACGACAGAATAAATTTGTTTCATTATAAAGGAAGCATAACTTTCTATGAAGCAACCCTTTTTTACAATTTTATCAAATAATTCTCCACCTGTACATAATTCCATTACTAAATAAATTTGTTCATCGTCTTCAAATGTTTCAAGCAATTTTACCACATTAGGATGATCCAAATTTTTCATTATATCTATTTCTTGTCTAAATCTTGGTATATTTTTTAGTTTTTTTTTTGACACTACTTTAACAGCTCTTGATATCTTTAATAACTTATCTGTAGCTTTATAAACACATCCATATGTACCTTTACCTAAAGGTTCTTCTGATAAATTATAAAAATCTTCTAAATTACCAGTAAAGCTTAAAATGAATCCCCTTCTTGAAAATTTAAATTTTTCACTTTTCATTTCTTTTAACATAATATCTTTATTTTTTGAGATTTTATTAAAATTTTTTTCTGTGCCTTTAGATTCTTTTGATTTTATAACTTTTGATTTTTCCTTATTGTTCTTTATTTTACCTCCCTCTAATATGTTTTTATTTTTTAAGGATTTATTGGAACTTTTTTTTTTTTTTATATTCTCTGTAGACCTCTTAATTTTATTTTTTATTGTAATATCAGAACTATTTTTATTTTTTTTTGTGCATAAACTATTCATCTTTCGTTTCCCCTTAGATAAAAATTTTAGAAAAATACATAATTCTTCCTAACAACGAAATGTCTTTTTTTAATTTTTTTTTGATTGTAAAAAAATTGTGTTATAGCCTTTCTAAAAAAATAAAGAATAATTTAAGATTATTTTATAATGTTTTGTAGTTAAAAATATTGTTTCTGTGTTTTTTTAGTATATACAAAGAATGTCATTCTAAAAATATAACGTATATGTTGTAATAAAATTTATAATTAAAATGATATATTTTTTTACAAAAAATATGAATAGTGTGAAATAATTAGAAAAAAGCATTATTTTCCCAAATCAATAGGTTATATTACATTTACCTATGCAAAGTTATAAAAATATGTCAACTGCATCTTATCAAATTTTCAAGGACATATTTGAAAAAAATTTTAAATAATAAGTTAAATTATATAAAAATTAATTATTTGAGATGTGAAAGAAAGAAAAAAAAAATTCATGATTCAATAAAATATAACTAGAAAAAATTAAAACCTTTAATTACATTAAAAGTTCTTAAAAAAAATAAAAAAATAGAAAGAATCAATAAGTAAAAGAATCTGTAAAAGAACAAATAACGCTTTATAAAATTTTCATTATTTAGACAAAAATGTAATAATAAAAACTATTATAAGGAGCATATTAATAAAAAAAAAAACTAGCTACAAATAAATGAAATGGCTTGAAAAAGACTTAGCTAATTTTTTGTTCATAAAAAAAAAAAAAAAAAAAAATAATATTTTTTAAAAAAAATTAAATTATTTGAGGTATATTTTAAACTTTTTAATTATCAGTAAATCTATAATATACGAAATTATTTTTATACATTCAAATATCCAATAAAGGAGATTTTTATTTTTCAACAAAATAATATTATTATGTACACCTAAATGGACATGAAAATTTGCCAAAAAAATAATCATGAAATATAATTTTATGATTATATATATATTTTTATTTTTATAGATAATAATATTTTCTGAATAAAATTGCTTTGAAATACTTTGATAAAAAAACGGTTATGCATTTTCTCTTTTTTTTTTTTTTTTTTTTTTTTTTTTTTTTCAAATAAATGGAGAATTCAGTTAAAATGAAAAATTGTTTATGGCTTTTTAATAAAAAGTTAATTATACATTTAGTTATTTTTATTATTATTATTATTATTATATATATAACATATTTATAGATCAATTCTACAAAGAATATAATTCATTGATCTGTTAAATATATTAATAAGCAACCTCATATGAACTTTTTTGACAATGTAAAATTAGCTAATTAAATGTTGTATATTGTACATTACGAAAAAAAAAAAAAAAAAAAAAAACAGAGAAAAATGCATTTAATAATATCAATTAATAAATATTTAATTCATAAAAATAATTATTTTTTTTTTTTAATTTTTTAATCTTACTTTGTATCATTAAAATTTAATATTTATTTTTATTTATTAATTTTCACACTTAAAGCTTATTTTTTATTATAAAAAAAATTAACATTGCAAAAGTGTTTATTTAAGAAAAAAATAGACGTTTTTTTTATATATAAATAATGAAAAACTATCTATAAAAAGTATTATAATAGTTTATAAGGATTTGTTTAAGACATATTTAGTGATTTTTTTAACAAATTTTTATTCTTATATATTTTTTAATAAACAAAAAAAAAAGTAACATTTTTTTTTTTTTTTTTCGAATATATGAAATGTAGTAAAAACAAATTATACAATATTTTCATATTATACACTATAAAAAATATTTCAATGAATTTTCCAATAAAATTAATTATTTTCCTTTTTTTTATATAGACTACGATACATAAAAGTCTGTATATATATTCTTATTTTATATTTAAATAGTAGAACTAAATCTATAGTGATATAATTCTTCAATATTTTAATATCTCAATTTTTATAGTTTTTATTTATTTTTAATTATATGAATTGCAACGTCAATATTTATATTATTTATAAAAGAATATTTTATAGTATAGCTACCAAAATCTGTGATTTTTATTTTTTTATTTTTTATTTTTTCATACACATCGTCATTTTCTCTTATTAATCCTCGAGCTAAGAGCTGAAATAAAAAAAAAAAAGAAAAAAGAAAAGAATTATATAAATATTATACTAATAAAAATTGAAAGAATATTTTATAAGTAAAAATAAAATGTAGTTGATTAATAAAATATCATATTTTACTAAAATAACATTTAAGTTAAATCTCAATTAAAAGAAAAACATTTATAATTCATGAAATCTTATTTTTGTAACTACTACATTTTTGTATTTGTAAATTTAAGTAATGAATATGTATATAAAACTTTTTATTCTTTTAGAAATACATATATATATATATATATATATATATATATATTTTATTTAATTTCAAATAAATATATAAATATATATATATATGAATATAATATTCTTCCTCTATTCATTTGTATAATATATAGAAATTACATAATCTAATACATTATCCTGAGTGACAACAAACTTTTCATCTTTGTTAAAATAAAAAAGAATAATTGTGTTATTCAATTTCTTTTTATAATTCCTTATAAAACTTGTTTTTATTTCATCTATATATCCAAGAGTGTTTTCTTTTATTTCCTTTTCTGCTAACTCGTCAGGAGTACTTCTATAACCAAGTCTTTGAGGTATAATGTAATTAAAAGCGTGAGATAATTTCACTTTTTTTATTTCTCCTAATGAAATTAAAAAATTTAAAATATTATATATATATATATATATATATATCATAATAAAAACTTAGGGATAAATTTCTATTTATTCATAAAAAAACCTTTCCTTCCTATTTCATTATCACTACTTACAGTGATGTGAACTAATTTTGCTTTTTTTTTGTTTTTTTTTGTCGCATATAATAAACAATTTGTTTTTTTTACATTATTTATTAAATATCCTTTTAATAATAGATAAACAAATAACGAATAAAAAAAAATATAAAAGAAAAAAGAAGTATGCATTCTTTTCTTTTTATATTATTAATCGAATTATTTTTTTCATTGTATTTTATTAGAATAGTTACTTATGTTTTATTAGTGTATTTTTCATTTTTTCATAATTTTTTTTTTTAAATAAACACATAATTTAAGATACAATCTTAGTAAATAATAGAATTATAAAACTAAATATAAAATTAAATTTTTTAAAAATAAAAAATAAAAAAACGGTTAAAAAAAAAAAAAAAAATAAAATAAAATAAAGTAATAAAAAAAAAAAAAAATAGAATAACTAATGAGGAATAATTGTTGTTGTGAATAAAATATACAAGTTTCAAAAAATAACAGAAAATTAAAAAAAAAAAATAAAATATAACGGAGTTCCCATTCTCCTTTTATTATTTTCTTTCTTTCTTCTCTTTTTTTAGTGTTTTAAATATTATATATTTATATTTTTATGAAAACATATTTTTTAAATATTATTAACTTGAATGTATGTATATTTTTATATATTATATATATTTTTCTTTTCTTTTTTTTTTTTTTTTTTTGATAATAGTTTAATTTGTTTGTTTTTTTAAATATTTGACTATATGAAAAACATGATTCTATGTATTAAATTTTTGTAAAATGAAAGATTAAATAGAGTCTTAAAATTTAAGAATAAAAGTATAAAAAATATAGAAAAATTACGAGTTAAATTCAATGGAAAAATAAACAAACTAAATGGAAAAAAAATATTTTATCTTTTTTTTAAAAAAAAATCATGAACTTCATATCAAGAATTCAGGTTAATATATATATTTATAGAATATATGTATGATTTAAATTAAGATTCTAAGTAATAAATCATAATTAAATCTCATAAATAAAAGATCATAATAGTTAAATGAAAATAGAACAATATATGTATGCATATATATATATATATATTTTTTTTTTTAGCTAATTAGAAAAATACATTCTTTAGTACCAAATACAGAAGATAAAAATTTAAAAAAAATAATTACTTACATAAATAATTACAATGATAATATAAATCAGTTAAAAAAAAGAAAAGAGTATCTTAATTTATTAAGAAATATATATAATACTATACCTTCAAGGTTAAATGAAAGGGAATTGTGGAATAATTTTTTGAACAAATTAAAAACAAAAAAATCATACTTTAAATTAGAGAAAATAATTAAAAATAATACTGTAATACATGATTCTCTAATTTCTAGGCAAGTTGTATTTCTTTATTATATAGGTATATACTTTTATATTTTAATTTTTGATGATTATCATATATTTTTTATAATATTAATTTTAATTTTATCTTATTTTTATAGGTTTTGATGACGAAATAACTTATTTATTAGATAAACTGGAGTTTAAATTACGAAAATGCAGTGAAAAAAATTTCAGAGAATGTGATAAATACATTAATGAAGATATAAATGATGTTATAAAAATGCTATACGTATTATATTATTTTAGAAATAAAGAAAATGATTATAAAAATGTTATTTTGTTATTCGACAAATTTATTTATTATAGTAAAAAATATCCTGTTAATAATTTAAAGTATTTGTTTTATTTTCATTTATTTTATTTTAATATGAATAATTCATTAATTAAAATACATAAATGCTTAGAAAAATATAGTCATTTATTATTAACAGAACAATTGATGCTTCTAATTCGTTATATAAATATATACTTAAAATACTTATATTTACATAATGCTATTAAACACAAAAATGATACTACATGTGAAGAAAAAATTTATAATAGCGAAAATGAGTTGTTTAATGAATGCTTGTTCATTGATAATAAAAAAAATGAAGAAATAAAAATCTTAAATGAATACGAAGATATTAATAGAAAAAAAATGATAACAAAAGAAATAAATATTTTTATCAACAATTTGTTTAGAATAAATAAAAATGAAAAGGAGTATTTTATATTTGATAGTTTTGATGATATAGAAATAAAAAATAGTTGTGTAAAAAATTACTCATTGATGGAAAACAAAATCCTTTTCAATAAAGACAATTTAATTAAAGAAGGAAAAAACAGATCAAATATAAAAGATAAAGAGATTTTACTTAATAACAGTGGGAATATCAGTAACGATAAATGTTTATCAAAAAATAATATAAATGAAGATAGTGATTTATTAAATTTAAATGGAGATAATAATTTTGATAAAAAAAACAATTCAATTTTACAAAATAATATAATTGATAATAATAATAATGATAATATAATTAATGAATATAACTTAAAATACATTGATATAGTAGAAGAGAAATATTCTAAAAATAGAAAAATATTAAAAAAAGAAGAAATCACATTAACAGAAAATGAATTAAAATTATATAAGAGTATATATGGCTCATGTGTGAAAGAAATATTAAAAAATATTCTATTAAATAAAGAAAAAATAAGTCCTGATATAATGTGGAATAATTTTATAAGTAATTTTTTTAAGGATGAATATATATATATATTAATGAATGAATTGAAAAATAAAATGAATATTATAAGTGAAGAAGAATTTTTAATTTTCTTAAAGCAAGTAAAATTACTAAAATTGTATGAAAATTCATCATTTTTCACTATATCAAATACTTTTTTTAAAAATTATATAATTCAGAAAAAATATTTTAAAAATATAATTCTTGCAGATAAATTGACATATTATACAGATATTTTTTGTTATAATTCTTTTTTACAAAAGTATATTCTATATATATATAAACTGAACTTTAACAAATTAACCATCAAAATATTAAAAAAAATACTTTCAAAATTATATTATTTTTTGCAACAGAACAAATCACTAATAAATGGGTTTGATAAATTTATAAAAAATACAATGATTAAAATAATTTTGAATGGATCGTTAAATGATATCGTAATGTTACTTTATTCTTTAAGGCAGTATAATTTTTATAAAACATACGTAAATAGAAAAAAGAACGACAAAAAAAAAATAAATAATGATTATAACATGTTTTCAAGTGATTATAATTATTTAGAAAAGGGTTGTTATAATTATATTTATGAATATATAAAAAAAAAAGTAAAACATTTATCACCATTAATTAGTTCGGATGATAATTTAAAAAATATAGAAAATTTTAACTTATTTCATTTAAATAATTACAATTTATATCAATTAAAAAATGATTACTTAAAAATATACAAATTAATATGTTATAGAACCATTATTGAGAAAAAGGAGATTCAAAAATTAAATTATGATAAGTATTTTGATATAAATATTGTTATAATGATAGAGAAACAATTAATTAAATTATTTTGCATATTTATAAATAAATTTTGTGATTCAATTAAAAATGATGATAACAAATTAAATATTTTTGAATGCATAAACAATTTTTTTGTTGATAATCAATATTATAATTTAAAAAATAATTCAGATGGAATATTTCCATCTTTAGAAGAGAAAATAAATAAAAATAAATTATTTATATTGAATAGAAGCTTAAAAAAAGAAACGAATGAGGTTAAGGAACACCTTTTAGATTATAATGAATTAAGTAAAAAAAAAATTTATGAGCATAATTTAGATGAAAATGAATTTATCAAAAGCAAATTAGTTGAAAATAAGTTAAATAAAGATAAAGTAAGTGAGTATTCTAATTTTAATATTTTAAAAAAAAAAATGTGCATATCAACAATGAATAATTATATGAAAAAATACGAATTTGAATATAATACTATTAAACGTTTTATAGATTTATTATTGATGATAATAATAGATAATTATCTATACTTTGAAATCAAAAATTTTTACTTTATAAATTTTTTTTTTTTATTATTTCAAAATAATTTTTTATCCATGTCTATATACCATTACTTCTTTTTTTTATACATTTTTAAAAATCTAAATTACAATCAAATTAGTCAAAAAGAAAAAAAAGAATTTTTTTTTTCAGAGGAATATTTTAATAAAAATAAAAATGAGATTATTAATATATGTAATGATAAATTAATATCAATAATAAGAGATTATGTATCTTCTCAAATTAATAAAAATAAGAACGTTCATTATGAAAGGAATGATACTATAAATAATGGAAATGATAAAAATAAATCTACAGAAAATTATAGTGATTGCTTTTTGCAAAATAAAAGTGACATTTTTGATTTTGATTGCATGATGACTTTAATCTTATATAATTTAAAAAATGACGAAATAAGTAATATATTTCAAAACTGCTTTTTATTTTCGTTAAATAATTATTTAAAAATTAAAAATGTATATATTAAATATGGAAATTATACTTATTTAAAGAACATGGAACATAATAATGAATTAAATATTTTAAGTTGTAACAATATAAAAGAAATTAGTAGTTTGTTTCACTTTAATGAAGGAAATAAAGATAATTTAAGTAATGATCATATTATAAAAAAATATCAATTTTTTTATATTAATATGATTTATGATCGATTAATGAAAAATTACGATGAAGGTGATTTTGAATGTTATATTAATTTTTTAACTGATAGGAAAAGTTATGAAGCAGTTGAAGTTTTAAAGGTGTGTATGTGGATGAAAAAGTATAATCAAAATGATAAAATTAAATTAATAATTAATAATATTAATACACATTTAAATAGTTATAAAAAATTAGAATTCTATATAAGTTATCTTTTCCTTATAGTACTTTATCAAAAAAATTATTTAGATGATATTTATAAAATTTTTAATGAAATTAATAAGTATTTATTAAATAATGATATAAATTCTTTCTGGTATATTTTATTAGTTCAAATTATTTATTTAATTAAAATTAAAAATTTGTTTTTATTTGATCTTCTTTTTATGCAATACCAAAATATTTCTATTTTTTATAATGATGTAATTAAGTTAAAAAAAAAATGTTATGAAAAAATAAATGACCATGATATTAATTCTTGTAAATCTAGTATTTTAAAATTTTTAAAAAATAACCAAGTCTTCTTTATAAAAAATATTGAATTAAAATGTAGTCCATTTATATTTGATATTTATATACCATCAAGAAACATTTTTTTTATAAACCAAAATAAATATATATTTAGTGATATTTTCATTGAGTATTTACAGGATAATATATTTGATAAAATGAACTCAAAAATTATAAAAATAGATGAACAAAGCATTAATTCCTTAAATACAATTTTGTAACAAATTGGAATTTTCTTTTTTTCTATTTTTTTTTAAATGTTATTTTAATAATTTTTTCTTTTACATAAACATTTTTTTTAATATAATTTTTAACATTCTTAATTTAAAAGAATTAAATTAAAACAGAGAAAACTATATATTAAAAACGTTAAAAAAAAAAAAAAAAAAAAAAAAGAAAAAAAAAAAAAAGGATTATATATACATATTAATTGAAGAAGAATAAAAAAAAACACTTATCATTTGGACATTATAAATATTAAAATAAATGGGAAAATAAAAATGAAGGAATAAAAGATAGTTACATAAATATAATAACCAAACTTAATATATTTTATTAAAAATTTATGGATATATAATAATGTGAAAAACAAAAAAAAGTAACTAAAAAATTAAGAACATATAATTTTTTCAACTTGAAAATTATCTTTATTATAGAAATTAGTAATTATAAAAAAATGCACATATATACAAACAAAAACATATGTATATATATATTTCTTAAAAATTATTTAAAGCATATATTTTAATATATATGAAGTTATATTTCAAAAAAAAAAAAAAAAAAAAAAAATAAAATATATCATTATCATTTAAATTGTACACATTGAACAATAATTAATAAAGGAAATGAATGATCCTAATTATTACTGTTTAATGCAATTAAAATTTGATTTCATTTGTAGCATTTTTTGTTGCCATAATAATTGTGATTTTTCATATAAATAAATATATTCGTCATAATTCATATTTGTCAAATCTATTGGGAATATATGTAATGATGGATTATAAAAATTAAATAAATTATATTGTGATTCTTCATATAAATTACGAAAAGTATTATAATTCATGTTAAAATTATTATTTAAAGAATATAGATTTATTATTTCTTTATTTTTATCCATATTATTTCCTAATGAATTATTCGTATTTATATCGTATATTGTTGGTGGTTTTTTTTTTTGGTTTGTATCTCTATATAAAAAAAAAAAAAGTTATATAAATTGTATTATTAAAATGAAATGATATTAATAAAGAATAAAAATTGATATAATAAATAATTTTAGATGAATGTTTTATTTTTATATATTGTATTATTTTTATCATTTTTTTTTTTTTTTTTTTTTTTTTTTTTTGTTTTATACGCTAAGATATTCATTTTAACAAAATTAGATTCAAATATTTCACATAATTTAACTCCTGCACTTTGTTCAATTTCCTATTTAAAAAAATTAATAGATACATAAGAATTTGGTTAATATATATTATTAAATTTTATACTTATATTCATTTATTCTTAACATTACCTGACCATCTCTTCCTACTTTGATTGGTTTATTTTCATTTAAACTATTTTTTAAATTAGACACTTCTTGAAAATGCACGTCTACTCTGAAATTAGAATAAAAAAAAAAAAAAAAATAAAACAATTGTGTTAAAAATTATAAAGAAATGAAATTATAATAATTATTTTTATTGTTTTATTACACTCTTATCCATTGAATATCAAAGTTTTTTCCTCTAAATATTTTATTATCATAATAAAAATATACATTCTTATTTTTTGATTCTCCTGGTCTATTTCAGAGTTGAAAAAAAAAAAAAAAAAGATATTTGAATAAAAATATGTTCTTGTAAAAATAAGAAAAAAAATATTTCATATATATATATATATATAGTCATAAAATATATATATATATATGTTAGAATAAAAATAAATTTATTATTATAAAAAAATAGAATATAAAATAGGATACAAAATTACTTTGATTGCATAATAGCATAACCACAAAATTTTGAGCTTCCATTAACAGAGAATATTAAAATAACGTATTCATGTTCCTAATATTATAGAAAAATATATTTTTTAAAAATATATAAAAAGGAATTTAAAGTATTTATATGAATATATTTCATTATATGAATATATTTCATTGTTTAAATATTAAATGAAAACATTTATTGGTAATATAATTTTTTTTTAATTATATATTCATATATATATATGTATATTTATTTATTAATTTTATATGTTATATAACCATAAAAGCATTAACGAATTTTTTTTCATTTTTTGGTGTTGTTGCCCATATATTATAATTTAACGAAATACATATATTTTTTTCAGAGCAACTTTTAATAAGAAAAAACTTTGTTTTAGCATTTGTATCTGTAATAACATAAAGATAAAAAAAAAAGATAAAAAATTAAATAAAAATTAAATATACATTAATATATATATTTAAGATTATTTTAGAAAACTATATATTTTCTTATATTTTTATATTTTTTTTTTTTTTTAATTTTTTTCATTAATTACAAATATTCTTAACAACATGGAAAGGAGGTACAAAAGAACAATTGTTATTCATGTTTTAAAAAAGAAAAAAAAAAAACAATTAAATTTTTATTTAAAAATATATTTAAATTATCCTTAGATAAAATTCAGAATTGTAATTTTCTATATAGGAAAATAAAAAAAAACTTTGGTAATTTCTCAAAAAATAATTCATTAAAATTTTATATATTTTTAAAAAAAAATTTTATCTCGTGTTTTAAACATGCTCGAAGCTATAGGTTAAATATATATTAATTCAAAAAAAAAAAAAAAAAAAAAAAAAATTTTTTTTAATAAAAAATAAAAGAAAAAATATTGAAAATAAGAATAAAATGAAATTTATGAATAATTTAAATAATCTATTTTTCTTAAGAATTTCCTTTTTAGAAGATTTCATAAAAGTTGATATGATAATTTTAAATTATAAAAAAAAAAATAAAATTATGCATGTACACTGTTTATAAAACTTAGTAAAATATGGAAATGTTTTAATTTACAATTAATATTATTAATTTAATGATTTGAATTTTATTTTTTTTTTTTTTGCATTTAGAAATACAAATATAAGATTCTTTAAATTTTTTTTTTTTTTTAAATTGTCTAAAGTATAATCTTTTGTGAATCATTTTAATATAAAAAAAAAAAAATAAGATTGTGAAAAATAATAAAATAAAAAAAAAATACATGAATTATCACTAAAATTGAATACAATGATAAAAAAATCATATGATGAAAATGTAGAAAAAATAAAGAAAAGAGAAAATTTAAGAAATGAAAAATCAAAAAGTATAGACAAAAACAACACACAAACGAATCCCTACAAAGACATCATTAATAAAACCTACATAAAAAAAAGTTATAAAAATGAAGTTATCAATGACAATATTAGAATAGGAAATAGAATTGTGAAAATTACATTTAGTAGTGAAAAAAAAAAAAAAAAAAATCTAGAAAAAAAAAAAAAAATAAAAA